CTCACCCCGGGTCTGGGCGGTGCCAACTCCCACCTGGGCAGGTCCAGACAGGTGCCCAGGCGCCAGCAGATGGGCTGAGCTGGAGGGGAAAGGAGGCTTGAGGAGGGGGGTGAGGGGGGCAGGGGATCAGGTGGCATCTCCGTTCTTGCATCATCATTGCCATGGTGCTGATTAAAAACCAATCTCCACCTAATGAGCCCCCAGCAACAACAATTCTACCTCTCCCACCCTCCTGCCCTCCACCATCTAAGATTGGGAGACCAAGAGCCTCCAAGGAGAGTGGAGTGAGGAAAGTGGGATGAGGAAAAGGAGTGGGAGGTGGAGAGGAGGCAGAGGAAGCAAGGGGGACATGGGGTGATGCTGAGACCCAGAAAGGGAAAGCAGCTCCAGACAGTGGGAACAGACCTGGGAAAGATGGAGAAATGGGAAGACGGGCACAGGAGATGGAGACGGAGGGGAGACGGAGCGAGAACAAGAGCAGACTTGCTGGGCTGCCAAGGCTTTGTGGACAGACTCAGAAGTGAGAGAGATAGGGAAGAGCGCTGTCGGGAGAGACCTGAGGAAATGGATAGGGAGACACCCGTCTTCCAATGTCATGGACAGCTGACAATGGGAAGGGGTTCCGAGGGGTCTCCAGGACACAGCATAGACGTACAACAGCGTTGGCAGAGTGGACAGTGGTGAAAAAAGAAAATTAAAATCCTGGAGATGGGACAAGTGGGAAGACGCAATGAACAGGCTGTTTCCCACCCGAAAGGGGGAACTGATGTCAACTGCGGGGAACCCAGAGGCGTTCTAAGTAGAAGGGAGTCATGGGCATGGGGTGTGGGTGGAAAGATTCTGCCCAGTCCCTCAGACCCGTCAGCCCTGCGCAGACACCCTGCCAAGCTGTCCCCAGGGCAAGCCCAGGTTTACCATGAGGAATGCCCTGGGGGCCGCTCCTACCTCCACATCTGTCCTCCAGGGACCCTAGACTCCGGCCCCCAGCCATCTTCATTCAGGGCTGTGGTTTTGCTCCTAAAGGGAGTAGCTAAAGGACATGAGCCATGTGGTAGGCAGAGCCGTGGCTCGGAGCAGCAGAGAGGACCGCAGGTCCAGTGACCCGGACCAGCAGGCAAAGCCGAGTCCTGGTGACTTTGGAGAGGTTACTGAACCTTGATGGAGTCCATTTTGTCATTTGTGAAGTGCAGCTAACACTGCCTCCTTCCGAGGGCTTCTGTCACGTAGGCATGGACTATGCTAGGTGCCCTGTTGTGTGGCCCCGGTGTAAAGGTGGCAGGAGCTCGGCACACGTTTATGGGCCGTGTAAGTATACGGGGCTCCACACGCACACGGGGCTCTGTGCACAAATAAATATGGGGTCTGTATATTCATGGGGCTCCACATGCACGTTTATGGGGTTTTATGACTGAGGGAGGCTGGGAACAGTATTGGGGTCAGTCAGGTTGCCAGCAGCCCCAGGCTGGAGGGAGGGAGAACCAGAAGTTGGGGGGGGGGGCTTGTCTGCTGTAGGAAGGCAGGAGCCAGGTCTGGGGTGGGAGTGTGGATGGCTCTATGCTTTATTGCCATCTTGATTTTGCAGCATACACTTTCAGACCCTTCCTCACCTGTCTTCATCTCCATACAGCCTTCGAGGGAGCGCTGGGGAAGACATGAGGGGTGCGGGGAAGATGTGGCTAGGCCCGGTCCTTAAGGGGGTTGGGGGAGGGCCTGGAGGAGCTGGGAAGCAGTGGGTTTGGCAGGAGAGGGGGTGACATATGTGGGGAGCCCTGGGGACCCAACCAGGCAAGCGGCTGGCAGGGAGAACAGACAGCGTTAACCCTCGCTGTGCCACGCTGCCTGACCCTTCCCGGGTGTTATCTGGTGAGAGTGGCTGGGCCCTGGATGGCAGAAGCAAGGCAGCTGAGGGGCCTGGGCAGGAGCAGCCGTGCGCCTGGGAAGCAGTGCACACCTGGGATCTCCAGTCCTCAAGGCTCTCTCCTTGTCTGCCTCCACAGGATTCGTGGGTCTGTCTGTCTCCACCTCTCTGTGCCTCTAGGTGACAGCGGGTCTCCACCCTGGCTAACGACACAATCTGTCACTTTCTCTGCTGCCAGCCGGCTGGAAACCCCCTTTCAGAAACACCCTGAGCCCTCTCTCGCCTCTGGCCCCCCAGGCCTCATTGCCTTTGTCTCCTAAGGCCCTCTCCTTTCTTCTTCCTCCCCACTCACCTCTCAGCTCAGAGCCCATCTCCAATCTCATTACCGCCTCCGACCACTGCTCCCCAGCCTCTCCTCCGCCCTCCCCCCTCCATCTGTCCTCCAGCAGCAGTCCTCTTTGTGTCCACCCATCTGTCACCAGCTTAGCCTCTCCCTCCAGCCACACCCGCCTGACCACGCTCCCCCTGGGCCCAGCCCCCTGCATTTGGCCTCCAGGCTTCACTACTTCCCTTCCCTTCCTTCTTTCATCTCCAGTTCTGTCTTCCCTCCAATTTCTCTAACTCCTCAGCAGTGAGGCAGCAGCTAGCTGAGCTGAGGCGCAAACATTTGCACACAATTGCATCACCTCGGGTCTCTGGGTCTCGGGGGACACCCATCCACTCAGCTCCCAGGTTTCCTGGGTTGGGGATGAGGCTGCAGGAGTGGGGGGGAGGGGGTAAATTCAGGAGCCCGGAGGCCTAACCAGATCAGGGTCTCTCAAAGGTCTCTGCCTCCCAAGTTCAACTCCAGCAGCTCCTGCCTTATTTCTGCTGAGTGATAGGTCTTTTTACCACACTTTGCCAGTTTCCCCAAAGTCCTACTGTCTCTGGGTTAAGAGGACAACGAGTGCCCCTATAATCTCTGTAGAACTGACCCAGCATCTTAGGAAGTACAGGACTTAACATCCTCCATATCACCCCTGAACTGTGTGGCTGAAAAGTGGCCACTTAGGACTTGACCACCTGGAGTAGGGTCAGAGATGTCACCCCCCCCCCCCAGTACCTGAGAACTGGCCCAGAACCGGGTACCCACCCAAAGTCACACAGCATTCGTGGCACGCCAGGAAATCCAGCCCTGAGCATTAGGGATCTCCTGCTTGCTGGCCACCCCAGACCTGCCCTCCCCGACCCGCCCTCCTCTGCGTGTGGAGGTCGCGGAGTCAGTGCTGTTGCTCAGTTATCTCACATCATGTCCCATCCTGCCATCCAGACTCTGGATTGTGAGTCTCCTGGGAAGGCCCCATATCTCAGCTCTTTATGATGCTGGTTGACCTGCCTAGAGTCGTGTTCAATAATGTTTATTACACTGTGACTGCAGACAGAAGAAACACCCTGTCTCCACTCCAATGTGCTGTGTGATCTTGGCCGAGACACCTCACTCCTCGAGGTTGTTTCCCCACCTATTAGGCAAGTTGGTGGTATACATTGATTCTAAGGTCTTGTGATTTAGCCCCTCAAAAACCCACAACCACTGTAAATAGGATGGGTTCTTGGTACAGACACCAGACTGGCTGAAAACACCTCCCCTCAGGGTACACCTTTGGGAGCAGAATGGAAAAGAGCAAATCCTTTACTCACAAAAGCTGGAAAAGGGACAGCAGCTGGCAGGAAAGCCTTCAGCACTGGTCTGGAGGGCCAAGGCATCACAAGGGGAGAGAGAGGACCTGGTGGACCCTGGGGTCGATGGTGAGTTTCTGGCTTCCCCATGGATGGGGTGGAAGAGACATGACCGAAACCAGCAATGGACAGGAGGGAGAGAAGCCCCTTGGGAAGGGAGCTGGGCAATGACAGGTTACAGAAGGCCTGCAGCAAGAGGGAGAGGGAGGCTAAGGAACTGAGAGGCAGTGTGGCCCCAAGATACTGCCAGCCAGGCCATGAAGACTCTAGAGAAGCGGGCTCACCTGGTGAGCCAGACCTCAGGCTCAGAAAGAGGCCCCACAAATGGACTGGCCACCCACGGAGAATGACCTCTCCAAAGTTAAACAGAGCCCTCATTTGGGCGGACAGGCATCTGAAGGGCCAGCATCTGTGTCTCCTTTCCAACCACCCCACTCCTGGCGCTGCCCAGCCCCCTCCTCCCCCATCAGTCCCCTCTGGTGGCAGCCACCTCCCTGCCTCTGGAGCTGCCAGCAGGATGCGGGAGCTCACTGCTCATCCGCTGGGAGACCCCTTGGCCGAGGGAGGCGTGGAGGCAGCCCAGACATGGCAGCTGTGCTCGGCTCCCTCCCGCCAGCAGAGCACACAGCCTCTCCAATTCAGAGGCAGGGGGGCAGCAGGGTGCATATCCAAACCTCAGAACCCAAAACCTGCCCCTGAGGGAGCCTGGAGAGAAACCTCCAGAAAAACCACCACCTCTCAGCAGGACACACAAAGGTAAACAGCCCAACTAGGGCCTAAGGGGAGCACCCTGAAGACTAGCCCTGCACCCATACTGTCCTCAGGACTGGGTGGGAGAAAGCTGACTTCAACTCCGATCCTGAGACTTTCTTTCCCTTCAGTGACTCCGACATTCAGCAATTCTGCTGTACTCTGAATTTCTGCATCCACAAAAGCCCAGGAAATTAGACGATCTCCAAAGACCAGAGGTTCTCGTTCTAGAAGTATCCAAAACAGTTCGGAGAGGCCAGAGGGATTAGCAAGCCACGCTCCCAGCCACATCCTGCCAACCGGAAGGTTCAAGCACACAAGAAACTCCCAATTCCTGACACGGCAGGGCTGCGGCTCAGCTCTGCGTCCACCCAGGGACTCTGAGGTGTAACCCCAACAACTCTGGGTGGCCAAGTGCACCAACTTACTACTGCAAGTCTCCTACTTATCACACTGCTCAGACCGGTGGTGTCTGTGTGTCCCCTCCAAGGGACAGAGTGGACTCCCTCACCTCTGTACCCCAGCCAGTCTCTGAGCAAAGAAAAGCTCATCGAATACAAAGGAGGGCCAACTGCGCTAACTTTGTTCTTCTAAGAAAAACTGGGTGGACAGACTACCTTTGACAGAGCCTCCTAGGCCTCTGGAGACCCAGACGTGAGTGTGTAGGTAACAATTTCATGACTTCCAGTTCAGAAAGAACAATAGGTAATGGTACAGGTTGTGTGTGAGTTTCATCCATTTTAACGAAACTCACTATTTATATATTTACACACAAAACGAGGGGGGGGAAATCAACAAAAATAGATATTACAGCGTAGTAAAAATGACAACCGAGCACTGTGGGCTGGAGGTGGGATACCCACGCAGCAGCGTGCCCACCCTGCTGTGCCATCGAAGGGCCTGGAGAAAGACGGTGGCAAAGGGTATGGGCTGAGCCTGTGGCTCCCTGTCCTCCGGGGGCCAGTTCCTGGCTTCAGCCCAAGTCCTTCTCCCTGATCAGGAGGGTGGCATGGTTGGGGGGTGGGGACAGGACAGATGGAGGACAGAGGAGGGCTGAGAAAAAGAGGAAGTCCCGGTGGGTTTAAGGGAGTCAAACAGGAGCATGTGCTTCTATCTGTGGTCCCAGAGTGTGGTGGGTGAGAAAGAGGAGAGTGAATGGGCAGTCAGGAGGAGAAGCTGGGGAGGGCGAATTGTTTATCTCTCACAGTCTCTTTCCACAGTCCCACCTCTCTGTTAGACCTGCTCTGAGCCAGGCCTACAGATTCCAAGGACAAACTAATGGCGTCTGTCCCGGAGGGACAGTGACCGGAAGTGAAGTGCAGAGCTGGCAGGGCAACCTGGAGTCCACCTCAGTAAGACACGGCTCCTGGCTCCCGGGGAGCAATGAAGAGGACGTCAGCTTTGGCATTGATGCAGTAGGTGACAATCAGCGAGAAGACAAGGATGCCGAAGCCCACCATCAGGGTGATGAACTGTGGGGCGGGAAAGAGGAGTGCTCTCAGAACTCAGTGCAGCTTGGGGAAAGTGCCCTGGGACTAGGGGCCAGGGTCCTGGGACTCTGAAGGTGGCTGGAGCACCATGGATTGGGCCTTCCCAGGAAGCGCGTCCCCATTTGAAAAGCAAAGTCTAGAGCCTCTATTCGGCTTCCATCTTGTGTGAATCAGATATAAGCATCTAAAGGCAGGGCCCGAGACGCTGATTCTTGTGGCAACTCCATCTCACTTGCTTGTGACAGGAATCCAGTATCTATCAGATGAACCCGACCCCATGGTGCTGGGAGAGCCAGCGGGCGGAATATGGGGAGCTAGTTGGGTCCCTGGGGTGAGGAGCAACTCCTGGGGTCTAGCTACCAAGGAAGACAAGCCTCCTCAGGGGCCACCCTGGCTCTCAATGCATGGAAGGGGTAAGTGAGAGAGGCAACATGAGTGGAAAGAGGTGAAGCAGACTCTGCCATCTCCTCTCCCCCTCACCTCAAGCTCCTTGCTGGCTATCAGAAATATCCGGGCACTGATGTCCTTCCAGCGACTCTCCGTCCAAGTGGAATATTCTGTGGAGCCCCACTGCCTCAGTTCAAAGGCAGGAGACAAGGCCCTGGCCAGCCGTGCGGTGGAACGCACGCAGTGGGGCAGCCGCTCCGTCCCGTTGGAGTCCAAAGGCCCCTGCACCCACGAGTACTCATACAGCTGCACGGGAAGACAGACCACGGCACGGCTGCAGCCTCCCTCAGGCCTTTCCCCAGAGGGCCCGCTCCCACGCAGGCATCTGTCTTTTCGACACCCCATCAAAGGGCTGTACCCCCCATCTCTCCATCCCAGTCTCTTGGGCCCAAGGGGGCCAGGAGACTGTCCCACAGTCCCCAGGAAGGGGCCCTTGGGCACCACCTACACCTGCTGCCACTCACATCCTTGTTCTCACTGGGGATTTTACTTGGGTCCTGGCATTGCTCTCGAGTAAGGTCGACCACCGTGCCCGTCAGGTTTGCCAAGGCGTACTGCACAACATAGGTGGTGTTCGTGGGGCTGGAGACGGCGATGTAGTGCTGGAGAGGCCCGTCCCCTATCGAAGAGCAGAGGGCAGGAAGGGAGGATGGGTAGGAGGATGGGTGTGGGTGGGAATAATCCGAGATTGGCAGGAGCCAGAGAGAAGGGTAAGAGAAAAGAATCCAATAAGTATCAGGAAAAAGGACAGAGAAGAAAACAGAGAAAAGGGGGAAAAGAGTAATGATTAAAACAGAAAGTTTCCCTCTACTCCTTTTCTGGGCTACAGGTCCCATCCCACACCCGCTGCTCACCCAAGTAGGTGCGTAGGTCTTGCCTGAGGATGGACTGGAACCAGGAGTTATTGGCTCTAACCAGGAACCCGTAGAGCAGGCGGGTGACCTAGGATTGGGGCAGAGACGAGAGCACTTGGAACCGAGTCTGGGGAGAGAGCTCAGTGACAATCCATCAAGGGCAGGACCCAGGCTGGCTGGCCGGGGAGACAGTGGCTGGCTCACTGGTGCAGACAGGCCCATCAGAGCCTCAGAAGTCCCTACTAGCCGTGGAGGCATGCCGAACGCCATGCCGGGCACCCGGGCAGGGGCCGTATGGCACAGGGCAGCTGCTGTGTCAGTGTGGTCAGCAGAAGTCGCGTCTGCTCAGCCTTACCGTGTGGGGGTCAGCCTGGATGGAGTCCGTGAAGTTGGTGCCTCCCGCGAGCCGGTACAGGGCCCGTCCCACCAGCGTGGCCACATCTGCCAGGGCCTGGGGCAGTGACAGCAGCTCAGTGGCCACCCCTCTGCCCAAGCTGATACTCCAGCTCTCCTCCCCACTCCCAGTCCCTGTCCGGTCAGCTACCTTGGCAGTGTCTGTGACCACATTGAGGTCCTCTTCCGGGCTCTCCCCTTTGGGGTAGCTGATGTTGATGTTCTCAGCAGTGTCGTAAATGCTCTGGTAATAACTGCCAGCAGAGCAAGCGTCAGCCCCCACTCTGTGCTCCCACCTCTCCCTCCCAGGTGTCCCTGGGCACCCTCAAGTGCTGTCAGCCAGAGGAGCACAGAGAGCCAGGAGGTGGGCACAGGGAGAGAATGGGGGCTGGAAGGGATCAGTCACAGACAGAAACTTCTTTGACAGACAAGGCAGAACAGATGAAGGCGGTGGGAATCTCGTCCTCCGGGAGATCGTTTAAACACAGCGAGCACCTGTGTCTTGGCCTGGAGGGCGGCAGCTACGGTGACACTGTGAGGCTGCCACACAGCATCAGAATGCCTGACTGCTCCAAAGGACGGCTTAGCCTGAGGGGCCACGATGGGATTAACAGGTATCAGGACAGGACCAGGTCTGCTCACAGATCTACTGCACCACCAGGTCAGCCACCCTGGTGCTCCTGGGGGAGCTGCAGGAGATGGAGCTCAGGAGAGGTCTGAAAGGAGAGCCCCCAGCCTTTACAACATCAACAACTGTTCCCACAGAATCAATCCAAAAATGTTCATGTGATGGATGAACTGCGCCTCACCCCGAAGTGGGGAGGACATTCAGTGAGAGCTGACCCACGCACAGAACTGCCACAGCCCCATGGTAAGCAAGAGGAAACCACACAGCTGGGCTGAGAACCTGAGCTGTGCTGTTTTCCCTCAGAAATGCATATGCCAGTTGGAAAAGGGGAAGGGAGACTGGGGCTTAGCTTATAAAGCCCGAGAGAGACCAGGAGAGAGCTGACAACGGGGAGCTCACCCTCATCTCTGGAGCCCCACAGCTGCACACCCCAAAGAGCTATAAGCACCTCCCCCTGCAAGGACGTGCAGTGGGTGAATGCGAGGTGAGGCCCCTGGTGGCAGAGGCAGGCACGGCGTGTCCTCCAGCCATAGCCGCCAGCCCTGGCTCCATTTGAGAGGGTGCTGAGCCCTGCAGAGCTGGGACAGATGCAGCCACAGGGACGGAGGGGAGGGCTAGGGAGCACGGCTTCTCAGGTGCAAGTAGGTCTGATGCGGTGAGCAGGTTGCTAAGCAAAGAACACAAACTGACCAGAGGACTGGCAGGAGGTGAGCGGAGCAGGAACTCAGACGACAAAACACTCTTGGAGAAGACGAGGCCGGGGTCCTTACCGGTTGTGGAAGGCAGTAGAGTGGTCCGCAAGGACAACCCCGGAGATGTTGCGAGACCGGAGAAACCGCTGCAGGGAAGATGGTGGGAGGGGCTGAGACTGGTTAGGTCTCCTGAGGACCACAGCAGGGACGCCAGTGGCACTGCTCTCCAGGGTGTTCAAAAGTGCCTCCACCTGCGGAGACAGGGAGATGGCGGCCAGGATGAGAGCAGAAGGTCTTGATTAGGAATGATATGCTCAAATCCCCTGCTTAGGAGACTAGCCTCAGTCACCTGAAAGCTTAGCTTCAAGCCTTTAGGGATCAGGATTCTAAAATTCCTGTAGCTCTCACCATCCCTTCTAGGGTAGGAAACTATGCACAAAGAAGGCCAGCGCTAGTGTTTTTCATCTCTTTAGCTAAACCCGCTGTTCCTAGGACTGTCCTAGCCTCATGGACATGTCACTTGTCTTATGCAAAACTGGAGGCAAGCAATGGCCAACACTGTGCTGATGCTGCACTGGAGTCCGGAGTCCGGACAGGGTGGCACCGATGGCAGGAAACAGGCTTCCCTGAAGCTGGACCTTAGGCAGGAGGGGTCTTGAACAGGACTGAGAAAGGCGGGGCTGGCATGGCCAGGCAGTTGGTAGGCTCTCCAGGCAGTGGGAGGGAAGGGGCCACCACTGGGCACGGGCCCATCGGACAGCTGCTCACAGTCCACTGAGGAGCTGAACAGCTGTACGGTCCATCCTTTAGCCAATACCCAACCTAGGGTCCTGCCTCAACCTAGGGGGCCTGGGGTTCCCCTTCCCTACTCCTGCTAGGCTAGGTGAGGAGAAAGGCTCGGCTTACCTGCTTCAGCACGGACTCATTTTTCTGAGACATGGGGTCTGTGTGCATCCAAAGCTCTAGTGAATTTCTTAGGGCCACCTGGATGGAGGATAAAGAAACCACATTTATATCCAGTCCATGTTAGCCCACATCTGGGAAAAAGGAATGGGCTCAGAAGAGGAGTCAAGGGAGAGGAGGTGACACCTGCAGTGCAGACAACAGAACAATAATGAAGGACTCTCTGAGGGAGGGGCCCACGCTGCCCACCTGTCCCAGCTCCACGAAGGCGTCGATGTTCTCCAGCTGCACAGGAAACTTGCCCTTCTCCATGTCATAGACCATCCTTGAGCTACCTATGTAGTCAAACGTTTCCTGAGGATAGAGATGGGGTGGGGGAGAGGGCCAGATCCAGAGGGTTCAAGCAGCCTTCGCTCCTCAAGGCCAGACCATCAAAGCTTTGCAGGCCGCATCTCATAGCATCTCACTGCCGGCCGGCTCTCAGGCATGGGACCAGCCTTCTTCCCTCCTCACTGCCCAGCTGGGACCATCCTCACACAGCACCACAGGGCATCCTGAGCCCAGAATGATGAGCCCATCAAGGCCTGAGGTGGATATAAGCTGTTCCATGCCTCTCCACCACCCTTGCCAATGCAGCCCAGGCTGCTTTTCCTTATTCTGGGCCAGGCTGTAGGGGTCCAGTGGAGGGACAGGAGCCTTGTGTACCCTGGGTGAAGGTGCCAGTAAAGGGGCCCAGAGAGTACAAAAAGATACTACAAATAGATTCCGTTGAGCAGGAGGGAGAGCTGGCAGAACACCAGCTCCAGGTCAGGACACAAGTATCCTGAAAGGGGGACCTGACGGGAAACACATATAGATGGGTATAGAAGCTCTCAGCTGGGTAACAACTTGGGTCAGGATGAGCAGCAACAGCCACTCCCACTTTATCCAGCCCCCATGCCCACCCCAGCGCCCTTACCCCTTGGAAGAAGACAAACATGACGTTGCGGGCCAGCGTGGCCACATCAGGGACCTTTTGCAAAGCTTCCGCTGCAGCCAGCTGAGTGACAAAAGAGGCGACTGTGCTTTCAGCCCCAGGGGCCACATTCCAAAAAAAGGATCGGCTGTCCAACTGGTGTAGAAAAGCAGGGGGCAATATGGAATGGAATTAGGACCCAGCCCTACTCACCATCCTGGTTGGCCAAGAGAATACACACTGCCTGGGGTGAATGGCTAGGACGATGGCCAGGACTGGAAGCCCACAGCCCACCCAGCTGCACAAGGCACCGGGCAGCAACTCTGAAACCTGATATCCCTGAGGAAAGCCTGCCAGCCCTCCTATGCAACCTAATGACCCAGGCAGGGGCCGACACTCACCCGGGTGGCAGCGACCACAACCCTGTTCTCAGGCTCCAGGGTCCCTGATGTATTTATAGGCCGGAGCATGCTCCACACGTTGTAGTCAGACAGAGGGTCACATACAATCTCTGAGCAGGAAAAGCAGCAAGTCAGTAGGAGACGGGGGCAGGGAAGAGGAGGGCAAGAGACAGAAGAAGCAGGAAGGCCCTGGAAAGCCAACCTGAAAGTTCCAGGTTGGCTCTGCCACAGCCTCCACCAACCACAGGACAAGCTGTCTCCGTGGCCAGACTGCCTCTACTCTCTTACCCAGTGTGCCCTGCTGGTGCCCACCCGCCTCTTCTCCCTGGGGGCTCCCTGGCGTGCCCCACCTGGGTTGATGCTGAAGGTGCTCTGGATGGAGCTGCGCCGCATGCACGTGACAGTGCTGATGACGGCGTGCATGTGTGAGAACAGCTGCATGGCGCACAGGGGGAAGGTGGGCGCAGAGCCGTTCTGGCCCAGGTTGTGGTCTCGATAGCACTGCAAGGGAGACAGTCCGTTAAGCAGCGGCCTGGAGCCCCACTCCACCCTAAACCATGCCCACATCTGTCCCGCATCTACATCTGTCCACACACAGCCATAGAAACCGGAAGGTCAACAATACAGTGTGTCAGAGGTGTGAAGGGGAGACTTGGTGACTAAGTGGGGCGGGTGGAATTCCCTCATCCCCAACAGCCTGGCCCAGTCTGGACCTCCAGTCACAGCTCCTAGTATGATCTGATACAAAGTGCATAGAACCGGAGACCAAAAGCCAAATTTGAGCTAGCTTCAAATCAACTCACTGTGTAACTTTAGACAAATCTCTTTACTGCTGTGTGTCAACATAAAGCAGTGAGACCAGATTTAGAGAATATTAAAGCTAAAAGAACTTCAGAACTTACTGAACCAAATCTCCCAATTTCTAGTCCAATGCTCTTTTTTTTACCTGACTAGGATTCTTTTTTATTTTTAGAGATTTATTTTTATTCATTTATGCACATAAGAACTTAGTGTAGGTCAGAGGATTCTCTAGAGACAGAATGGGGAGAGGAACAGGTGGATCTACTGAAATACACTGCTGAGGGGGAGCAGTGGGAGAGAGTGGAAAGGTCTGTGTGCCATGTGGGTCACCTCCCTGGCTGGGGATCAAACTCATGCCAAAGTGACTGGTGGCAGCTTGAAAGTACTGAGACTTTAATCTCTCGCCACCAGGGAGGTGCTGACTAGAGTTCCTAACAAAGCCTCCATAGCTTGATTCACATTAAATATTCTTTACATTTCTTCCAGCCTAGTCCTGGAATTCCATGATACCACACAAGAGGGAAATGGCAGAGGAGGGTGTAAGAAAGAAGTTTCTTAGCTCTTCTTGGAGTATCGTTCATGGGGTATATTGACAGATTGGACTCCCCAGCAGGAGAACCTTGAAAATAACACTGGGGATGCTGGAGACCGTTGCAGTCATTACCTGCTTGATGACTTTGGTTTCATTTTCATCTTCTAGAAGAAAGATGGGAAAACTAAAATCTTCATATGCCAAGCCATCGCCCAGAGTATTCCACACCACATCTTTGCAGTGAGCATACTCTGGTCCATAGGAGTTTGAATAAATGCCTGGAACAGGAAAGGAGATACCAGGTACTCAGAGACCTCACAGCTTTTAAGGCAATAGCAGCATTGGGACTAAGAGGTCCGGAGCAACTGATTCAAAGAAGCAAGCATCTGACCTAAGATAAAATGGGCACTAGTAACAGGGAGCCCCCGACTGGGTCATGAGGGATCTGCAGAGGCGACACAAGGGAGGGGGGAACTTCTGTGGAGCAGGGGGAAGCAGGAGAGGGGAGGGATGAGTGGGAGAGACTAAGAAACACCGTCTTCTGTTTGGGAATCAGCTGCTCACGCACATAAAGACATAAACACACCCCCAACAAAGCCACAATGAGCTTTGGGTGACACCAGTTCCCCTATATTTGAGGTTCTTACCGAACCCATCATTCGGGCACTGCACACTAGGAGAGAAGCCAGCAGCCGGACTGGGCTTAGCCAAGGACACTGCAAGACCAGCAATTCGGTTTGTTTTCCCCTTCAGCTTATCCATCAGATCCCTGAATTAGGGAGGGAACGCCATGAAGAAAAACAGGAAAGTACCTGGCGACCCCGCTGTGCTGCCCCAAGAGTGGAAACCAATGTCACACTGGTTTGACTCACTCTTTACCTTTCTGGAGCTCAGGGCTCAATCTAACTGGAGCTCAGGGCTCAATCGCATCCACCCTGTGTGAGGGCCTGTGCACCCCTGCAGGTACTCCTGTCTCACCTGGTGAAGAGTGTGCCCTCCAGCAGCACCACGTATGGGGGGTTGGGGCCGTCTGTCAGCACCCACTGCAGGTCTTCTGCCTTCTCCACCACGTGGATAACTCCTGTGTCCCCACTGATGGAAGCTGCCAGGACAGACAGTCAAGATAAAACCCCCGCAGGTGACAGTTCTGACTTCGCCTCCCTGATTTTGCAGGCCATTTATCCCCAGGAGTCATTCCCTTGGGATGACAATCCACTGGGGCTAGTGCAGTTGCCTCTGCCCTTGAACTGAGTTGAACTGTCCTGGAGAATGGGGGACAAAGGGAAGACACTCTAGAGGGCTGCTCATCAGAGGTCTGTCCATTCAACGCCAGAGAGGCTCTCTAATCGTCACTGTCTCACCAAAGTGTACACCTCAATTTTCACGCCTCCCGATATTCTTTGGAAAATGGCAGGTTCTAGGCTTCCAGCTTAGAGTTCTAGACTGAATCTTCCACTATAAAAATGTGCACATTTTCTTGGTCCTCACAGCCTTCCTGCCTCTCTTTTCTTTTGTCTTATGTGGGAATGACTTTATTTGCTTTTCAGTAAAGCAAGTAACTGCTTTACTTTTTTTACTGTTTTGAAACTGCTTTACAGTTTAGGTTAATCAAAAACTCTGAGAGCCTGAAAACAGAGCTTCCTAATGCATAGGCCCTACATGGGTTAGAGACGTGTGGACACTTGAGTTCCATCCATTTCAGGTTACTCTGCTTATCCCTAGCCAGAAGCAGCCTTGTTCCTTCCTTATCCCAGGATGTCAGCAGACTAAACAAACAACATCTGTGTGTCTCATGACATGAAAAGACTGGGCAGCACTGCACAAGAGGATGGATGTCCCTGGTTATAATGTGCTGACTTCTACATAGTAACATCCCCTCAACTTCCTGGAGACAGATCTATGTCCATACATTTTTTCCTCACTCAAAAAAGGAGATGCCATTCATACATTATTTTTAGGCAGCAGAGCTCAAAGCTGGCAAAGGATCAGTACCACTTTCATGTTTTAAAAAATATAGATTTCTGGGCTTTACCTCACTTCAACTAAATCAACATCTCAAAAGGTGAGGCCAGCTATGTGTATTTTCAAATCGCACCACCGGTGGTTGGTTCTTCATTATACACAGCATGAGAATTATGGCTTTAGACCAGGCACTGAAATAATCATAATTTGCATGAAACAAAACCCATAAGTACTTTTCAATTGCCAGCAAAGTTAGAATTTTTCTCCCTTGGCATCTGGTAAAATCTAGACATGGAAGCAGGTCTCCAACTTTCAACTAAATCTTACATGTAGTCAAAACTTAATAAGCTCATGTTGGCAGTGATAATCAGCTACAGGGAACACCAGAATCTGGAATAACTTCAGTAAAAATCTAGTTACAAATGATAGTTGTAAATAAAACAATAGCATTTAAAACATGGGAAAAGAAAAAGCTAGCATGGCAAATAATACATATAATTTTAGTTACAAGGTGGCAAACAAGCTCTGACACTGGACTGAAAATCCTGGTGTCTAACTTGGGTTCCAGTCACTGCCAGTGTCACCTCAGTGCTTACTTGCTTACTTTCTCTGGGAACTTTTCTACTTCTATTTATCACATACCATGGGAACAGATTAAAAAAGGAAATGAAATGAAGGAAGGAAAGTATGTTCCTTTTGCATACTTTCAAAAAGTCCAATTGAAACAAGGCATGATAATAAAATTAAACCATTATAATTAGAAAATCTTTCTCCTTAATTTTATCATGTCAGCAACTGCAATTAAAGAGGGCATGGTTACTCAGAACAAACAGATAATGAAGCAGAGTCCAGCCGCACCCCTGTTTCTCTGCAGTAGCATTCATTTTCTAGAGGCTGCATTGTACCCTTTCATGGTTGCACTAAGAACATTAGAGTCCATGACTCATCCCCCAAAGGGGGCATCTTAGAGCCTGGCTCCTGGAGGATGGGAGCCTGCCTTTCTGAAACACAGTGGGGGGCTCCGACGAAATGAGCAGTCTGCTCTCAGCCCACACAGACCTGACTCTCGTCCACCCACAAATGCAGTGTAACAATCAATCCAACAAATCTTTTACTCGAAGCTGTTTGGAAGCAGATATCCTACTTCCAAGCACATCCTGTAGCAGGCATGAACGTGAGACAACCAACAGGATACTCAGTTCAGGAAAAGACACGTAGAAAAGCAGTAACTGCAACTATGCACAAGCCCTTCACTTCCAGAGTCTCAGTTTTCTCTTCCCAAGTGCAGAGGTTCAGACAACCACACAGTACTGCTGAGTCCACTCACCAAACAGCTACTTTGACTTTGAGTGTGATACAGGTATAGTCTAACCATTTTTACAAGAGTACACTGCCGAAATTCAGAGACCAATCTGATGATGAAAAAGCCATGATCAGATCTTATGTTCCTGCTTCCCTACAAGCTGCATTCTGCTAGAGCTTCTATCCCCAGAAGAAGTCTGAAGACAGCAGGCTAAGCAGCAGAAGCAGTGTGATTCAGCCTTCAGATCATAATTTCCCCTCCTTTCATAGTTTTATAGCCATGTGGTGGTGGTACCCTGTTTTGGAACACATCACAAAGCATAAAAACAAGTCCCCATACTTCACCAATTCCTCCTGCAATTATTTGACTTTCTCAACGCCTTCTTGCCAAATAGTTCACTGCCTTAAAGAAGCCCTTTTGGTTCCATAAAGACAAAAGTGGGGGCTGTGTGGTAAAAAATGGCTTTTTTCATCAAAAACAGGGTAGTTTTTTACTTAACATAGTGGGTGGTTAAGAATCCTATCTTAAAATTTGGACCACCGGGGCTCCAAATCTAGCTTCACCACTTATTACCAAAATGACCTTGGAAAGGCACCTTATATACCTGTTTCCTTGTTTATAAAGTGGATAGCGAGAGCAGCTATTCATGGGCAGCCAGGTTAAACAAGATGTACATGTAAGATGCTGAGTGTGCAGTAGTTTGCCTGGCTTGACAAAAGGTTTTTTATCATCTCAAACCTATAGAGTCTAATGTGTGGCTGAGATTTCCAAGGCATAACTTGGATCTTAATGTATGGGACACAGACAGAAGTATCAATAGGCACAACACATATCCCAAATTCAACTCACACTGGCAGCCAATCTGATGAGTAGCGTTGAGCAAACGAACACAGGGAGCTGTCTTATTTAAGGGGATGTAGATCTTCCTCTCAACTGAGTTTCCCCAGCACAAACCTGATCAGAAGAGGAACAAAATGTTAGACTTGAACCATCCGCCGGCATTATTACCTCACCCCCACTATGATGGTACATCTTCTAAAATGGGACTGATGTCCATTCTTCCTACTTCTGGGCACACAATTAAGAACAAATATATTCAGGGCCCTCCCTGGCTGTAGCACAGCACTATGAGGCTATCTGCAGCCACTGTGGCACTAGTGCGAGCCCCGGGCAGGGAGTGGCATGGCACTCTCTTGTCTTGCTGCTCCCCTTAGCAGTGTGTTTCAGTCAATCTACCCGTCCTGTTCCCAACTCTGTCTCTGGTGAATCCTCTCACACACACCGCATCCCTCCACCTGCCCCCATCTCTGGCCCATACCCCAGTTCCTGTATGCATAAATAAATATTTTTTAAAAAGAGATTCACCCGGCCCTCCCTGTTGGCGCAGTGGGTTAAAGCACTGCACTGAGAAGCTAAAGCCACTTCCTTAAGGGTTCAAATCCCGCCTGCCCCGGAGGAGACCACATGGCGTGGCAGACTTCTCCTGGCCCGCCCGCTGCTCCCCTCAGCAGTGTACTTCGTCGATCTGCCTGTTCTGCTCCCCACTCTGTCTCTGGTGAAGCCTCTCACCGCCCCTGAGCCTCTGGCCTGTACCCCAGTTCTGTATGTACAAATAAATAAATCTTAAAAAAAAAAAAATAAAAAAAATAAAAAAAGAGATTCACCCAGTTATGTGTATCACAGGGTTTTAATAAAAATTTTACACAGTAACTGACAAAGAAGCTAAAAGAGAAAAAAGTTGATTTGTCGAAGGAAAGGCATTTAACTTCCAGCTTCTCAGTTGCATGGGTGGCCACAATGTTTCATTAATGTGTATATTACTATACTAGTAATAAGTATATTACTAATAAGCTGATAACAGATGCCACTCTAAGAGTAGAAATCATAATCTTCCTGAGGCATTCTTCCATGAGTGTGAACAGAACTGGCAGAAACCTCAGTCACACCTGTTATAATCTAACATCACTTTGTGAGTCCAGTGTGGGTCTCCTCTGGGAATCTTTAAAGAAGATTTGGGGAGGCATAGTTAGTTATCTATAGCCATGTTTGCACTTCAGGGTCCCAACAACTAGAATGGCAAAAGAATGTTGTGCAGGCAAACAACACATACAAACACCCAAGTTCCTCCTTCCTAATTTCTCTTCTGAATAGCTAAAAGAGGCCATAACCCACCTCAGGTTCACTTTATCCCTGGAGGCAGAGGCCAGCATGCCAGTTTAGATTAAGGCGGAATGAACAGAGAAGGAACAGGGACTCAACCCCTTGATGCCGCGGCAGCCCCGAAACTAGGGCTCCCCTTAAAACCTCACCACTGGGAAGAAGCTGTACCCAGACACCTGCTTTGTGATTGTGGGTGGGGTGCTGGGACTAAGGGGATAAAGAGACACTAGCCTCAGTGGAGTGTGCTGGGAGCTAGAAGGTGCCTGGACACAGTGGCGGAGTTGACTGGAAGAGAAAACAGGACTGGAGAAAGAGAAGACAAGTCGCGCTCTGCGGGAGAAGGGGACAGGCCACTGGGGAACTTCAGTCGCGGGAACGAAAGAGACAGGGAAGTTAAGGGCGGGGCACTGGGGGGCCACAGGACCAGCCAGGATGGCGCTGCGGTGGGCCAGTCGGAGCTTTTCACAGTGTGAGTTCGCTGCGGGAAGCCTCACCTGCCAGCAGGACGCAGAATGACAGAAGGCGAAGGCCACAATTGCCCCAGCTGGCCGCGGAGCCGCCCCCAGCTGCGGCCATCTTGCTCTCGGAGCGGAAGCGGCGGTCCCCAGTCTGCAGGTCTCTCTAGGACACACCCGACGTCTCGGTGGCCGGGACTCAGGACCCGGAAGTCAGTGTGTGAACTTCCGGTACGGAGGGCGCTGACGTGGAGCCTGCTGGATTCCAGCGGGGCGGCGGCTCGGCTTAGCCCCTCGGATCCTAGGCCGGCGAGATGCTAACCAAATTCGAGACCAAGAGCGCGCGAGTCAAAGGTAGCGGAGAGGACGAAGGGGAGGCCAGAGGCTGTGTGCCGCGACCGTGCTGTCAGGGGAAGGGGAGCGGGAGGAAGGCCTTTACCCGGCGCTTTCGTGGGACCTCGCTGACCCCCGGCAAGATCCTCTCATTCTGGTGGTTTCCCATCCTGTGTGGACCCCGAGGGCCGCTCCCAATTCTTTCCCTCCTTCCCGGGCCTGTTTTCCAACCCTTCTCCTCCCAGCAACTGTGACCGTGATGTGCAAAGTAGCCCTACGGGGTTGTGAGAGGTGGCTGTGACGGGTGGGTGGTCTTTCGATCCAAGTCAGTAAGAATTTTGGATTCCAGCACTTGCTGTCTCCTGGCTGCACAGTATCACAGTACATTGTTTCCAATGTTAATAGTATGTTGAAGCCTGTAACCCCGAAATCAGAGATTGATAAAATTACCAGATAAAATACAGAACAGGACACCCAGTTAAATCTGTTTCAGATAAACAACATAGAGATGTTTGTATGTTTCATTAAAATTAAAATTTACCTGGGCATCTTTCTTTTTACTTAAATATGACAACTGTAGAATTTGAGTTATCACTGAATGGGAATGGAGAGCAAATGATATTTGCTGCTTTCGTGGTGTTAAGCTCTTGGAATGTTAGAATGGAAAAGATGGAGAAGATCTCCTTAGACTTGGAAAAAAAATACAGTATTGAATATTCAGTAGTAGTCTATTGTCAATACTAGTGTCAATAATTACTAGTATTTGGTATAGGAAAGTGCTTAGGAACTTGGTCTTTGAAGTCAGATGAACTTGCTTGGGAATCGTGAAATGTCCACTAACGAACTATGTGACCTTGAGTGACTTCCTAACTTTTCTAAATCTGCCTCCTCGTTTGTAATGTGAATAAGCAACGTTTTCTTACAGAGAGAATTAAGATGAGGGAGTATATGAAAAGAACTTAACTACAGTGCCTGGTATAGAATGAGTAACCCCAAAACTGGAAGCCATTATTAATGTGAGAATAGATTCTGAGCAATTTCAAGTTCTGTGGGAACCTTGATTGTGAGACAAGTGTCACAGAAGATTTCTGGATGGTTGCAGATGACTCTTCACAACCCTTGAGTTTTCTGCCCCAAGTGCCTTGTTGGGCAGGAGAGAAGAAAAGAGTGGCAGGATGAGGGGAAGTCATAATATTTGCATCAGTATCCATTAATAAGTGTTCCTATAGATTATAATGGAAAAAATGAACAACTTAATGGAAAAGTAGACAAGAATTGTGTTAGGCTTCCTTGGTGGCCTAGGTGTTAAGTCTCAGCACTGTCACTGCTGTGGCCTGAGTTCAGTTCCTGGCCAGGGAACTTACCTATGTATGATGCGGCAGACCTTTCCTGTCTTGCCACTGTTGCCCTTAGCTTAGCAGTATATTTCAGTAAATCCTCCCCACTCTCTCTCTGGGGAATCTTGTTACCCTCTGCACCTCTGGCCTATACCCCAGTTCTTCTACAGAGTCATCATTCAAAAAAAAAAAACAGAGGAGGAATTGTGTTTAATGTAAAGTGTTTAATGAAAAAGCCTTTTGAGTTGTGGTCTGCTTGTACATGTGAGGAAACCACCCAAAGCCTAGGAAAGAACCACTGAAGAGAAGAAATAAGAACACTTCCTGAAGCTTGCAAAGGACTGGGAATAGTTTGTATTCCTACTAACAGAGTGGAAAGATCTCCTGATACTATGGGTTATTATACAGAGACGTCAGATGAACATTGTCAAATCAAACCTAGATTTAAAGAATCATGGACACACCCTAGCAAACCTTAAAAGCAAGTCCTTAAAGGATCAACTGATTCCAAATAATTGATTCCTGAAGCAGAATGCAACAGTATTTACAGGACTATATAAAAATCCAGCCTCAAATGACATGAAATTTACAATGTCTACTATCCAGTGAATAAATGAACCTAGGGTTAACCTAGTTGTTACTTTTTTTATTAGAATTAACATGTGATATTTTGGGACTTAATTTACTCATTGTATCATTCTCTTTTTGGTTGCAGGGCTCAGTTTTCACCCCAAAAGGCCCTGGATCCTGACAAGTTTACACAATGGGGTCATCCAGTTATGGGACTATAGAATGTGTACCCTCATTGACAAGTTTGATGAACATGATGGTAAGATAAGTTTTTAGGAAGAAGTTTAAAGAGATCTAAATACTGTCTTCTGGAGTCACTTGATCTTTGGCACTATTTACATTGGGGTTAATGAGCGTGGAGGGGTAGAACTAAAATATCCTTGATCACTGTCACCTTAGAGAGTAGGGACAGGACTCTCTTTAACTGCCTCTTTTCTTTCCAGGCCCAGTACGAGGCATTGACTTCCATAAGCAGCAACCACTCTTTGTTTCTGGAGGAGATGACTATAAGATTAAGGTATGACTGGGAGTGAAAGACAGGACATGGAGTTTGAGAATTAGGAGAGGGACTCAAAAATATGACATCTCATTCACACACACTGCAGGTTTTAGACAATGTTATCTGGACACTTACTCAGCAAATACTTAGTAAGTGCTTACTGTGTATCAGACACTTTTATAATTTGGGAATTCAAAAATAATTAAGAAACATTCTCTTTTATTCTAATGGCCCTTTTATTCTAATAGAGAACTTAAGTATATATTCAAATAATAGCATGTACAGTGTGGTGAATTACTGTGTTCCAGTTCTGAAGGCTGGCAGTCCAAGCTCAAAGTGCCAACCTGACCAGATTCTGGTTATGGGTCAGGTGTCAGTATATGCATTTCTGAAGAGATGCAAGCATTTAAGCCATGGGAGATGTATGTATTCAACCAGACCAGTGAAATTTATGAAGAGAAAGGTTTATTTTTTTGAAGCTACATCAGTGAGTTATAGATTATAGATCACTTAGCAGCAGCTAGGTGACACTTCAAAGTTATATTAGAGTTATAGGAAGCACAATTCTTTCTGTTTTCTTGTTTTTAGGTACTGCATCCTGAGGTACTTAGTAGTAAACCTCAAAAACTCCATAGGATGTCACTTTGTTACAGTATTTCCAATAAAATATTTATAATATTTATTGTTTGTACTATATCCATTCAGTGTTAAGAACAGTTAGCTCCCCCCCCCCCAAAAAAATGATTATTAGTTTAAAAAAGGAATCAGGGGGCCTCCCTGGTGGCATAGAGGTTGAATTCTCAGGGCTATGATGCTATCACCAGCCACTGTAGCATGAGTTGATCCCCGGCCAGGGAGGTTACCCACATATGGCACAAAAGACCTCTCCTGTTTTGCCCTCTGCTCCCCTCACCTGTGTACTTCAGTAGATCTACCTGATCTGCTATCCACTCTGTCTCTGGTGAATCCTCTCACCTGCCTGCACTGCTGGCTTATACCCCAGGTCTTATTTGTATGAGTAAATAAAAATAAATCTTAAAAAATCACCTTCCATGTATGAGATGTCTGGTCAGGCAAGTCAATACAGACAGAAAATAGATTATTGTCTGAGGTTGAGAGAAAAAGGGTAGTGATGACTATGGGTTTAGTTTTCTTTGGGGGATGAGAAAATGCACTAAAATTGATTGTGGTGATGTGTGCTTTATGGCTGTACTATAAAATCATTGAATTCTGTACTTTTAGTGGGTGAACTATATGGGATTTGAATTGTATCTCTATAAAGTTGTTAGTACATAAAGGAATTATCTTAGCTATCTACTGGGTATGTAATATTGTTAGGCTGTGGTTTTGATTTATATTTCTCTGATGAAAGGAAGATTACCTAAAAAAGTTGTTTGTAGGTCATAATATTGTTTTCTATGTCCAGATTAATGTAGAATTAGAATAATCAATCTTTATTTACAAAGAGTAAGACAGGAACCCCAACAAATGGCCAGAGTCTAAAACCGTATAGGTATTTTTTTTAATTAATTAATTTATTTATTCATACAGAACTGGGGTACAGGCCAGAGATGTGGAGGGTGACAGGATTCACCAGAGACAGAGCGGGGAGCAGAACAGACAGATGGACAAAGTACATGCTGAGGGGAGCAGCGGGCGGGTCAGGAGAGGTCTGCCACGCCTTATGGTCACCTCCAGGGCAGGCGGGGATCGAACTCATGCGGAAGTGGCTTTAGCTTCTTAATGCTGTGTTTTAACCTGCTGTGCCACCAGGGAGGGCCCGTATAGGTTTTTAAGTATTCACTGTTCTGGAGTTTATTAGAGGACCATAAAGGAGAAAAGACAGTTTCGGGATAAAAGCTATTTCTGGTATGATCTAGTTTTTGTGTGAAACTCAAAACTCCACAGTATAGATATGTATTTATAGGTGATTCAGCAGGTGATGATGAAGGTGTTTTACTTTTCATGTTAACAATATTCACCTTTACTCATTTCTGCAGACACCTGTTGAGCACCTGGTATGTGTACATCACTGTGCTAGGTGTTCAGCATTTAGCTGAACATGGTGCACAAGGACCCTGCCTTTAGGGAGCTTACGTTCTTATTTGGATAATCCTACTTCTGGGTTGTTAAAATTTGTGACAAGCATTTTTTTTATAATTTATAAAAGAAAATTTCAGTTTTTTAAATATAAAAAATGAAAAGTAACAGGTGGCTAGCACAGATTATAAATAAGTGTTCATGTTAAAAAAGAAAACAATATGTTTTGATTTTGCACCTTTGGAGATGTTTTCTAGATGTGGAGCATGAGCTATCTTACTTATGTGGTCCTAGTTTTGTCCTTTTCAGTTGTATCCATTGATACCTGGTACTTTGATCTTTTTTCAGCTTATCTAACATTATCATTTATTTATTTATTTATTTATTCATTCATTTATTTATTTTTGCTTAGCTGAATCTGAGTAACATAGTATTTCCCATAGTAATAAGTTAAAAAATCTGTGTGATAGCTGAGAACAGACCATGAATGTATGAACATCATTTGCCATCAAATTAGGAGTCTAAGAGAAGATGATGCCATCCATATGTTACAGTATTCCTTCCTTTGGAGACATGGTATCTGTTTATTTTTTGTCTTTCAGCTAAGGTAATAAGTAAAACACTGAGAGTCTATATTCATATTCAGAATGTAGTCAAAAGAAAAGTTCTAAGTTAAACCCTGGATATAGAGCCTCTTTTCTCATGTTAGGTGAAGATACTTTCTCTCTAAAAAATGAAAAATATTTCCATAATTTTATCTAGGTTTCCACTAGCATTGCATGTCCCCCCCATCCCCCGCCATATATTGTTTAGCTGATATATATCTTCATTATTGGTCTTTTTGCCTCCAACCTTAAACAAGACTCCTTATCAAGGTTCCTACCTATTTAGAAGTACCAAAACATAAGTCCAAATTTGTTTATTGAGAAACCTGACTCTTTTAGAGGTTTGTGATCTATATGTCCTATTCCTTAGTTCGATTTCTCTTTGCAGGTTTGGAATTACAAGCTTCGGCGCTGTCTTTTCACGTTGCTTGGGCACTTAGATTATATCCGCACCACATTTTTTCATCATGTAAGTAGCTATGAGCATTCTTCAGTTTCCCCCTGAAGAATTTTCTACTTGATCCTCAAAAATCCATGCTTTGATAACTGTGTTATGGAGTAGCTCTTGTAGGATCTCTGGTGTTAACCTTTTTGTTTTGTTTCCTTCTGCAAAAGGAATCACACTAGGTTATATTTAGTTTAATTGGATTCAGTGGACTCTGGGAGGAAGCCATTATTTCTCTGTAGAAGAAACTAGAAATGTAATTTCAAGTGTGCTGAACTAGCAGACACAAGTTTGCAGGCCCGTCCCAGCTGGGGTATTACTAAGTACTGTCAATGCAAGATTCTGTTTTGATAAACTAAAATGTTTTGAAGCATTCCAATCATGTGCTTCTATCCTAGGATTTGAGGATCTGGTAAGAACTGTTCCCTTAAACCAGACTTACTGTCTTTGATCTTCCAGGTAACAGAGTTATTCTGCGTTGTAGACTCCCAAGCCCTTGAACCAGTCCCAACTTGATGAGATCGCTCTAGATGTTTGCTGTTAGAATTAATTTGTACAGTTCCTTGATTTTCAGTAAATTAAGACTCTTTAATTAAATTAGAAAGAATATAATGAAATAAACAAGAATTTCATACCTAGTATACTTTGTTGCTTTTTAAAAATTGAAAAGGTTCTAGGATAGAATGATTGTAAAAATTATACCTAAGACATTTGTGAATGATGACTACTCGTAAGATATTCTGTTTAATAGGAACTGTTTCTTAGTGCTATAAAGGACTTGCTAAAGATGCTTGTCCAGAACAAGTGAGCATCTAACTGGAGTCTTACTTGATACTTTCAGTTCAGTAAGTATTTGTGTGCTTTGTAATTAAGTTTTATGCTCAATACTGGAGGTGTACTGTGAACAAGAAATACTTTGTCCTTTCAATAAGCTTATAGACTGTACAAAAGCTAAATTGTACCTGTCACTTTCTGTTTTGTTTATTGAGACTTGGGAATTTTTTAACACTGGATAACCTGACAGGAAGAAGTCAAACTAAAACAATATTCCTACCCTAAAGTTAAAGATTAACTACAGAATCATATATATGCACACATTTATATAAAAGTGAATGTATTTTATACTACTTGCTTCTGAAAATCCATTGTACATTTGTTCCACTTCCATTCTTGTGTCTTACAGATAAAAGTACCAGAGTTGGGGAACCTGATGGTATGATAGGAAGGAGGCAGCCAGCTGGGGCCATCAGAAGTAGCAGTCCCTTAGCTAATAGAGTTCCCATTAGGCAATGGCGTTCTTCTCCAAAGAGAGAAGTGGTTACAGAAGTCTGAAAGAGCGTATTTGTTTTATGTTCAAACCCTTTATCTGCAATATCTTTCAGGAATATCCTTGGATTCTGAGCGCCTCTGATGACCAGACCATCCGCGTGTGGAACTGGCAGTCTAGGACCTGTGTCTGGTAAAGCAGTGGCAGAGGGTTCAGAGTCTTCATTCTTCCCCTAAAGGCGATGTTTGCTGATTAATTACTCATTGTATTAATAAGGTCCTTGTAGGTATAAGATGATAAATACAGAGGCAGTCTCATTAGTAAACTGTGAATCTGGATTTCTTTGTCATTTCTTTTAGGGAAAGGATATTGTGTAGTTAGGCTTTTGTAATAAAACCATTAACTAGTTTTCAATTCTGTTCCCTGAAATCTGAGTCAGGGTCTAAATTTCTGTTCAGCTTTGTGTTTGGGTATAGATCTTCTCATGAAGAAGAAAGAATCATTTAAAATGATATTCTTTAAAAGGGATGCCTATTGCAATACAAGTTTCCAATGTGAATTACTAAAATTCTATTTATTTTGATATTTTAATGTCTTTAATCTGAGAGGAGAGCTGTATAATCTCAGTTCTCCTGAAATTAATATTTAAATACTAAAGCCTTAAAGGCAAGATGAGAGCCATAATTGAAATAGATGGTCTTGTTAGTTATTATTAGTTTAGAATTGTTAGGTGACCCACCTTTACCTCCAAAAAATTATATAGAGAGTAAATCCTCACTGTCATTTGTAGGTGCTTAATGATAAGTACTTGGAAATTGCAACTTCGAATGAACAGTAAGGAAACTAGTTTTAACAAGAGTTAAGTTTCCTATGGCTTATTTATGGTCACAAAAGCATCATCAAACTTAAAGACCCAGAACACATCTAATACTAAGTAGTGAATTGTTTTCATTCATTCATTTCCAGCCAGGATTGTTGCCTCCTAGCAATCCAGGCACAAGATGGGACCAAACCCTGGGTCGGAACCTTCCATTGCAGGGTAACCTCACACAAAACTCTGTGCTCACTCTAGCTAGGACATACAGACCATGTTAGTAAACCTCACATGCACATCTCTGAGATATAGGAAGAAATGGAAGTCCCCGGAGAAATCATGCAGACATTAGCAGAATGTGCCAACTTCACTTAAAAGACAGTAACCCGGGCTAGGAATATGGTTTTTTTTCTCATCAGTGCTTTAACTAAATGAATGGATGAAGCAGTGTTATTTGAGGACCTGTTGTAATTGAATCTGCATCTTTTGAATGTGGAGAACAGCATTTATTGTGTTGGAGTGTATTTATATACCTACCTCTAATTTGTATTGTCTTCTTCTTACAGTGTGCTAACAGGACACAACCATTATGTAATGTGTGCTCAGTTCCACCCATCAGAAGATCTGGTTGTATCAGCCAGTCTGGACCAGACTGTGCGCGTTTGGGATATTTCTGGTGAGCTGCTTAAGTTCAGGGGACAACCTCGTCATGTCTGGCACAAAACTGCAATTGCCTAAAATCTTGAGGGTATTTGGCTTAGAACTAGAAACTTTATTCTGTTCTCATCGCATCTTTGTGTCTGGGACACAAATCTGCTTTCATAGTTCTATATGTTAGAGATATTCCATAAGAGAAATAGTCACTATAGAAAATTCATTTAATCTGAGGAAATTTCACTTTTTAGATTGCTGTTTTTAATTAAAATCTATATACCTTAGGGGATATTTATTAAGAATCTAGCTTTCCACTGAAACTTTTAAAACTACATCTTTGAGAAAAATGAAAATTTAGGGATTGGTTAATGCAGACAAATAGGACTCTTGGTGTTTGACTCATTTAGAAATAGGAGAAATCCACTATTGTATTTCTCCTAGAGTGAGGAGCTTTGGGAAGAAGGGGATTTTGTGTCCAAAACACCTTTTAATGGCTAGACTTCTAGGACCAGAAATTAAAATAACTTCTGCATTTGGTTCATTGGAATTATTCCTCCTTTCACAGTTTATACATCTTTTATTTTGGGGTAGGGACTGAGATATATAGTATTGTGTAGAGGAGATCTAGATAGTTGCTAAGCAAAGGATTTAAATGCAAAGAAAGGACTGTCCCTATGAGGTCAGCATGCTGGACAGACAACTGTCCACTCTTAAGTTAGCATATGGAAATGTAACTCTTAATGCAGTGGTTCTCTGCCCATTTACATGGTTTACTACTTGCTCATCTCGGTTTGTATTTGTTGCTCGAGAAATTCTCAGAGTTTGGAGCTCTGAAAGGTCAGCATCTAGACCACAAGACAGTGTTTTCATTCTGTGAAAGAAAGGCACCTCATAGGTCCTGGCTAGAGCTTTGTGGTGATAAGGGGGCACCTCTGTTCTGTGGCTGAGAGGAAAATGTCCCAGCTCCCTTGTGGCACGGTGGACTGGGCAGTAAGTCCTAGCTGTGTTAGAAGCCATTAGTGAACAGCAAGTTGAACATTGGATTCCTGGGTACAGCATTTGGAGCACTGGTAGTAACTTGTTTAGGATACATGTAGCATAGAGACAAGCAAAGGGGACATGAGGAAACTGGACAGTAGGACTAGACTGTGCTGTCTTGTAGTTTTCACAGGTTCTAATTTGGAAGGGAGTGGTATTGACAAGCTGGTATTACAGATCAGGCAGTTGTATGCTATTACTGTAGGCCTTTTGCCATTGCAGTTTTTTGTCAGACTGGCAAGATTTTCTGAGGTGCACCCAGATATGACCAGCCATGCCAATAAGAGGAGTTAGGGACAGGCAGCTTGAACCTGTGCTCTCTACTCTGCTATTACCAGGGAGCTTATTCACTCACTCAGTAACTGAGCTGTGTCTTCTCATTCTACACACATTCAAAGCTCTTGCTCTGTCTCAGGGTATAAGACTGATGAAGTTGGACCCCAGCTTCTGCTGTTCCAGCTGATCTGGAGCAATTATTTAAAATAGCCTTTCTCAACTGGGGTTCTGTGACAGAATGAAGTAGCATTCCAAGACTTTTGAATGACTGTTTTCTTCTCAGGGGAGTTTATAATGAATGCTGTTCTAGATTATAGGGGAAGTTAGTTTGTTACATGCACAAACTGACACTTTTGCCCCTTGGACCTTAATTCTTTTGTAGCCCCCTGGGTGAGAGCACTTGCAGTGCTCCGCTGTGTGTGCTGTTGGCGCCAGCACATCAGGTTCCCTTGGCATACAGTTAGGTATATGAGTTCTCATTGGTGATCATGAAATGCCCAAGGCAAGAAATACTTCTCTTTATTTTTGTAGAGTAAAACATTTTTTGCATTGGAATTAAAAGGGCTCTGAATCAGAGAAGAGAAGGAGAGCATGTCACCCCCAATTGGGGTTTATATGGGCCTTGAATGTGTGAAATGCATGAATTACTATAACACATTGCAGTTCTTATGGTTGGTATATGTGATAAGGTGCTCCACCACCACTCCCATCTGGAAGTAGAATGTTCTCATTTAGTATTGTGTGGTAGGTTGATTTTTTGAGGGGGTAGAGGGGGGAGAGTTGGACACTCTGTTACCATTAATTTATATGAAAAAAATTGAGTGTTCCCAAACCCAAAAAATAAACTACCACAGCATACCTAATAGGAATAGTCTGCTTCCAGGGAGCATGGAAAACCTATACAAATTAACATGCTAAAATTGAAGATTGTGTGCTCACTTGGTGTATTAGTGTTAATGCTCTCTACCATTTCTAAATGTTTTCTCTACTCATGATTCTCTTGACTTTCAGTAACCCCTTAACCGGAGTGGAAGAAGATGCTTTGGTATTTAATCAAATAAAAACTTCTGGTCTAGACTTTTGCATTCTTTCCCTTTCTAGAAATCAGTATATTCTTTTAAGCAGTTATTTTTACCTGGGTTCAAATAGATCTGAACACAGGATAAGGAGTTCACTTTCAGGTCTTTTAGTAACCAAAGTTAATATTTCTAAGAAGGAAAAATTCGCTATGAGTCAGATTACCCTTCCATTTAGCAAATTGGTGAAAACTCTTAACTTCTCAAGTATCTATGAAAGGACAGGAAACATCTTTAGAGGAATGCCTGTCTTCTTGATAGCTTCCCATGAGGATTAAGCCCTACCAGGGCCTAGCTTACCTAAATCTTTTGTGTTAACCTGGCAGAAAGTACTCTTGATGTAGATTACTTTTTTAGGTTGAGTTTCCAAGTAAACTGATAGCTACATTATTTTAATAAGCTTAACTTTGCATGTCAAACCCATGTAATTCAAAGATTAAGCCTTAGGCTTAATCTTTGAAACAAGTACTAAAAAATTATTAATTTTCTGCCAAATTCTCCTTCACCTCTATCTGTACTAGTCCCTCTGGTCCTCATTGGGAGGCATGCATCAAATTGGTCTTTTCTGAGTGTCATCCCTCCCTCTGGATTTGGGTAGCTGCTCTAGAAATTTTCCATCTGTCGTTCAGTCTTAGTGAGTGGCTTTTTGAGGGCTCAAATATTTCTCTCTGAGTTATCTTTTCACTGCCTGTCACTATTCATCTGTCTGTTTTTGTCCTCCTCCTCTTCCTGGATCATTATAAACAAGTACAACAAAGGTTTCCATTCTGTCATATAGCTTTCCTTTTAATGTGTTTGTTTGAAGCTTATTGGAAGTGAAGTTCCTCACAGCTGTCTTGTCTTTGTATCGTCCTTGTAATCTGTTTTATTCACTAGACTCATTAGAAAAAGTTGACAGGTCTTATTAAAGGGACAAGTGAAATAAGTGAAAGGAGGCATCCTGTGATAATGTATTTAGGAACCCTTAGGAGAGTGCATTACTTTTGAAAGAATCAGTTTTATTTTCTGTACCTATTGGCTAAATGTTTATATTGGGCAGGGGGCAAGATAGTTTAAACTGGAGTCCTTTTAAGCACTTGCTGTTCAGGGGAAATATATTGCAGTTTTAAAACCATGAAAGTAAATATAATCGTTAAATTTAGATTTCTCTCTTTCCCTGCAAACCCCAAAATTTAGGCTTAAGCCTATGTAGATTTTCTTTTCAATGATGGCTTTTATTTCCCCCCATTTTATTTTATAATTGCCAGAAAGTTCATTTTCCTCCCCTCCCACCCCAAACACTTCAAAAGATAGATTTAATTCCAATTCTATTTTCTATCCTATTAAAGGGTTGTTTTCAGGATCACATCACCTAATCTGGTTTAACCACAAGATACTTTTCAAACGGAAGGTAGCAGTATTTTTATCACAATACTGTGCCTGACTAGAGAACAAATAGCTTAAGATAGGTGTAGTTGAGTTGTAAATGTGGGTCTGATACAAACAAGAGTCTTCTTATTCTGGTATCTCTTTTCCATGGTTTTTGATTTTGGGCCAATCTCTCCTTGTGAAACTAGCCTGCCAAAGTTTTAAATGATAAAACATATGTGTTCAGATCTGTAACCAATGTTATCAAGAACTTAAAAGGACTTAGCAGTTTTAATTATTTTGTCCTCTGCAGTGATAGAGAGAATGAGAATACTTTTGCATAGGGTCATAGTTTTATACTTAATAAGTGTAAAATAGTTTTATATTTAATAAGTCTAGTTTGTTGACTCCTTTGCAACTTCCCCTTGAGTTGCCTAAAAGGTTCAATAAACACTAAATTATGGCCCTCTCAGTTGCTTTTCTTTCAAAATTTTTTGAGAGAATAGAAGAAAATTTGCTACAGATTTTATAAAGTTGAAAGTAGAAATTGAATGTTTACCATTGAGACCACACTTTAAGAACGTTGGTGAATGGGCATTGCTCAAACAGATAACACTCAAGAGTGAAGTTTGTTTAAGAAGTTTGGATTGGCCTCCTGTGGGAAGAAACCCCTGTAGTGGGTCTGTTGGGCAGATCAGAAGGCTCTTCAGCATTCTGAATGTTTTGAAAAAGAAATAGGAGCTCTTGCATTTCCAGTCTTTCTGAATTTCTTTTTCCCTTTTTCTTTAGTATTAACCTGTTGCTGTACTTTTCTGTGCTTTTGTTGCTGTTTTTAGATAACGTTATATGCATCTCTCATCTTCACTCCTTATTCCTTCAAAGGTCTAAGGAAAAAAAATCTGTCCCCCGGTGCAGTGGAGTCGGATGTGAGGGGAATAACTGGTGTGGACCTCTTTGGTACTACAGATGCTGTGGTGAAGCACGTGCTGGAGGTACTGTCTGCACAGCCAGGGTGTACTCCGGCTCTTCTCTAGGGAGCAAGAGCCACATGCCCTTCATATTTACACCAACGTGGATTTTTGCAGTGCTAATTAAGTGCCAGACACTGCTTGAGGCACTGGAAATAGAAGAGTGGGTGAACCAACAGAAGTGAAGCTTCTGTGCTACATAAGGGGCTGGGAAGAAACAGAACACTGGCAGTGGCTCCAGCACCATCCCAAAGAAGGGCCTATTCTCAAGCCTCTTGTAAGGGTTTAATCAAAGTTACTGATTACCAGCCATCTGCAAGTGGCTGGACGTGGAAAAGTAGGAAAGCATAAGGGAAAGAAATTAAACTTAAAAATACCTTTACCTAATTTAATTCCCACATTACCCATTGAAATAGATATCTCCTATAGACTGAAAAAAGATTGAAAGAAAAGCAGTTTCCCAAGGTCCATACGTATTTAGTAAATAAATGGACTAGGATTTGAACTTTGATCTATCTGATTTCAAAATGGAGGTGTTTCATGATGTCTCTCAAAAATACTGCTAATTAATACTGTCTTAGCTATGCCTCTGTCATAGCACTGAAAACAGATACCTAAATAAGCATAAGACATCTTAAAATAAGCAATTGTTAAGCGTCATAGATCTCTTTATACACTTAAAACTTATTGAAGACCCCAAGGAATTTTTGTCTATATTGTTATCTGTCAGTTTTTACCATATTTGGATTTAAAATCAAGACATTTTAAAACATGGAATATATAAATTCCACTAGCCACCAAAGCAGTTATCATATTATGTTATTTCTGAAGAACTCTACATTCATGAAAAATCAGACTGAAAAGGTAAATAGGGCCTCCCTGGTGGTGCAAGGGTTAAAGTCTCAGTACTCTAAGGCTGCCGCCAGCCACTGGAGCATGAGTTGCAGTGGTCAGTGAGTTGACCCACATGGCACAGCAGTGTATTTCAGTAGATCTACCTATTCTGCTTCCCAGTCTGTCTCTGGTATATCCTCTCACCCCACCCCACATACCTCTGACCTACACCCCCAGTTTTTGAATGCATATATAAATAAAGATAAATCTTTTAAAAAAGTAGCATTTTGTTGTTTTAGATAGTATTATTATGAAAATCCTTTTCAGCTAGCAGATTTCTTGAAATATTCTTAGGAACATTCAAGAGTTTCTTAACTACACTTTGAGAATTTCCTCCTTAAATTATGACTGAGTCTTTGAGATGTTAATAATTAGCTATGGAAATAAAATAGAAGTAGAGAAGTTACCCAAAAAAGGCACTGTACCCCCAATGCCAATGAAATTGAATCTGGGAGTACATAGATGAGGGAATTCCCATGAAAATTTGGTGATAATAACATTCCTGTTCAAGTCTTAGCATAGTCTCTTGAATCTTTTTATAGGAACAGTGAGAGACATTCATATAATGCCAAGCATGGTCTACTGGTTTGCTGTGAGTAACAGGAGCATATTTAAGAGAACTACTTTTATCTCACAGGGTCATGATCGGGGAGTAAACTGGGCAGCCTTCCATCCCACTATGCCCCTAATTGTATCTGGGGCAGATGACCGTCAAGTGAAGATCTGGCGCATGAATGGTGAGTGAGCCAGTGATTTTATCACTGTGTCTTAATAAATTAACTGTTGATAAAGTGGCCAAGTCTTCTAGAAGATGACCCATTTTTCTGCCATAGGTGGTTACCTTAAGCTAATCCTCGAGCATTAAAATTGTCTTATTCCCACTTTACGTATCCTGATTTGGGGAAGTATTAAGGCTACATTCATTCAATAGCTATGTATTGTCCAAGGGGATTCTAGAGGGGCAGCTAACTAAAACTGGAAAACTTCCATATGAAAGAGTTCATTCTTTAATGACAGCAAGTGACAAGTACTGTTGGGACAAATAAAGCAGGGTAAGGAGATAAAGCATGATGGAGAGAGGCATTGTTTTATTTTTTTTAAAGACTATTTTTAGGATATATTTTTTAATTAATTTATTTTAAATAATACAATAGTTTATTTTTACATCATTTGTGCCTTTTTCTATCTCAGTTGTAATCCCCGGGGGCACCCCATCACCAAATCACCCGTGTGCCATCACAATAGTCCAGTGCACTCTTCCCACCCCAGTTCTGATCCCATTCCCCCTCCCACCCCCATAAAATGTCTCTGGTATATAATTGTTCATTATTATTACTATTTTCTCTGCTGGTCTGTTATACTCCTGCTATGAGTGAAACCATCCGGTATTTTTCCTTTTCTTTCTGGCTTATTTCACTGAACATGATCTTTTCCAGCTCCATATTGCTGCAAAAAGCTTATGTTTATTTATTTATTTATTTTTGGTTGCTGAGTAATGTTCCATTGTGTATATGTACCAAATCTTTTTTTTAAGATTTATTTATTTATTCATACAGAACTGGGGTATAGGTCAGAGATGTGGAGGGTGAGAGGATTCACCAGAGACAGAGCGGGGAGCAGAACAGGCAGATCGATGAAGTAACACTGCTGAGGGGAGCAGTGGGCGGGTCAGGAGAGGTCTGCCTCGCCATGTGGATCTCCTCCAGGGCAGGCGGAAATTGAACTCATGCTGAAGTGGCTTAAGCTTTTTAGTGCTGTGCTTTAACCTGATGCGCCACCAGGGAGGGCCTGTACCACATCTTTTTAATCCAGTCATCTACTTATGGGCATTTGGGTTGTTTCCATGTCTTTCCAATTGTAAATAAAGCAGCAGTAAACATGGGGGTGCAGTGTCTTTTTAAATCAGAGTTTTATTAAAAGAATTTGAGTCATTTTTTTCTTAAAGATTTATTTATACTAACAGAACTGGGGTATAGGCCAGAGGTGCAGGGAGTGAGAGGATTCACCAGAGACAGAGTGGGGAGCAGAACAGGCAGATGGACTGATACACACTGCTGAGGGGAGAGCAGCTACCGGGTCAGGAGAGGTCTGCCGCACCAGATCGGTCACTTCCCTGGCTAGGGATCGAACTCAGTGCTGCAGTGGCTGCGATAGCTTCACAGTGCTGTGTTTTAACCCATTGCACCATCAGGGAGGGCCTGGAGAAAGGCATTATAATTGATAAGAGAGTCAGAATGAAAAAATAGATTATCGGGCCCTCCCTGGTGGCACAGCAGGTTAAAGTGCAGCACTGTGAAGCTATCCGCAGCCCCTGCAGCACTGAGTTCAATCCCTGAACACAAAGGTGAGCCCTATGGCACAGCAGACCTCTCCTATCTCACCTTCTGCTCCCCACTCTCTCTCTCATGAATCCTCTCATCCACACGCACCTTTGACCTACACCCTAGCTCTTGTATGCATAAATAACTCTTAAAATATCTGTATTTATATATGCATGCAAGAACTGGGGAATAAGCCAGAGGTGCAGGAGATGAAAGGATTCATTAGAGACAAAGTGGGGAGCAGAACAGGCAGCTCCAATGAAATGCACTGCTAAGGGGAACAGCAAGCAGGGTAAAACAGGAGAGGTCTTCTGTGCCATGTGGATCACCTCCCTAGTCGGGGATTGAACTCATGCTGCATTGACTGTGGATAGCTTCACAGTGCTGTGCTTTAACCTGTTGTGCCACCACGGAGGGCCCAAGGATAGGAATTTTAAGCATCACAGGCTCACATAAAGATAACCAACCTGGTAGAAAGAAGATGCCAACTCAATACCTTACCCTACACTGGTTAGAGCATATGTCATCCCAGACTCCATATTTAGAGTTGTAGGGAGTTATATGATAATCTGATTCTTTTTTTGTCCTTCAGAGTCAAAAGCCTGGGAAGTTGATACCTGCCGGGGCCATTACAACAACGTGTCCTGCGCCGTCTTTCATCCTCGCCAGGAACTAATCCTCAGCAATTCTGAGGATAAGAGCATCCGAGTCTGGGATATGTCTAAGCGGTAAGGGGAGGTATAGTATGTGACAAAATCCAGGAGAAAGCCCCCTTTCTCTTCTTCAGAAATGATATTAGAATACTTCTGTTTGTGTCTCATCGTCTTCCACATATAGAAAAGTCATATACTGTGAAAGCCTGAAGAGACCTAGAGATCAGCCAACACGTACAGATTTCCTACCAAGCAGAAAAACTCACATGCATCCTTCTTCTCTAAATCTAACATACTCCTCTGTAGTAGAGAAATATGAAATAGTGAAAACAATGAAGCAGAAAAATGATAACATGTAGAGAAAATTGAAATACGAAGTTTGAAGTTTCTTCTTCCCTGATAGAATTTATCATAACTATATCTAAGATACGCAGTTTACAGTCACTAGTTGAATTTTTTTAGTCAGCTTTCTAGCTTACTACTAGATAGTCTTGTGTATGGTAGGCTAAAGATTCCTCAGAAATTAATGTTATTTGTTTACCTTTTTGCTTTTCTAGGACTGGGGTTCAGACCTTCCGCAGGGACCACGATCGTTTCTGGGTCCTTGCTGCCCACCCCAACCTTAACCTCTTTGCAGCAGGTAAGGACCATTTCTTCTCTTTTTTTCCATCATTTTAGTTCAAAACCCTTAAGATTTGAGAGTGAGTCTCCATTAGTTTTATTTCTGGAAAACTCATAGTAGGGTGACAGAAAAATAAAATCCTCAGTGTCATGTAGTTGATTCTTTGTCTTACCCTACCACCTTCCTGGAGTTATAGTAGTATTTCAGTGTTTTCTGTCCACCACATATATTTGTCATTAAAGCACACTCTCTTCAATTTTCCTAGGAGACTTAGACAACTAAACTTGGACACTTGTCATTCTCAGAGGAATTACAGGCAAAATTTTACTCATTTACTTAGAAATACATACTGAACATCAGGCTCTCGTCTGGGAGGGGGGATCATAACAGTGTGTCATACAGTGGCTATATTATAGAACCTTTCCTTGTAGTGAAGGAAGATAGACGATAAAATACATTTAATAACGCATGATGGAAAATGCTCTGCTCTGAAGAAAAATTAAGTTAAAGGAGGGAAAATAGAGAAGGAAGAATGTGGGATTATCTTTGCATCAGTTTTCATGAAGGTGAAGGAGAATGACAGCTCCATCAACAGTGGGGACAGCAGGGGCCACTCACGAGAAAGGCTTGGAATGACTGAGGGACATCCAGTGCCATTTGGACTACAGGAATGGGCAAAGTAAGAGGAGGCGAGACAAGCCTTGTTGTCCAGCACCTGTGGCCACAGTTAGAATCTCGGATTTTATTCTGAATAACTGGATAGCCATTGGAAAGGTTTTGGGCAAGGAAAGAGTGATCTGGTCTATGTGTATTGGATGAGGCAGATGAAGGTGGAATTTTTCACCTAGGGTTTGGATGATGCTAATAGAGAAAGAAAGCAAAGCTATTCATTCATTCATTCATTTAATTCTTCTTTGTTGCTTAAGGATTTATTTATTTATACATACAAGAGCTGAGGTGCAGGCCAGAGATGCTGGGGGTAAGAGAATTCCCCAGAAACAGAGTGGGGAGCAGAACAGGTAGATCCAATGAAATATATTACTGAGGGAGCAGCGACAGGAGAGGTCTGTTACCTCCCTGCCTGGGAATCGAACTCATTCACACTTGGTTCATAGTGCTGCTACATAACCATTGGGCCACCAGGTAAGCCCCAAAGCAAAATATTTTAATAACAACCAGAAAGTCTTTTAAATCATCCATTTGTAAATATTTTCATGTTAATATATGCTGGATCCTGGGGGAGAATGGAGATTCCTATAATTTCTTCCTTCAGGGAATGAGCTCATGGTATAGTGGGGTGATAGACTTAAACCGTTCAAATGCAGGATAAAAAGTTAGGCAGTGGAGGTCTGTGTAGAGCATTAAGGAAACATACAAAGGGTGTGTCTAAATGTGACAGTGTGATGGGACAATTAAGGATCAATTCAAAAACATGAATAAAGAGTCTAGGAACTGTGAGAAATTAGGCAAATAAGCGGTGCTTTTAGGTATCTTAACTTCCTTGTATATATCTGTATATGTGTATGTGCATATACGTACCTACATACATTTCTCATCTTTGTGTAGCTTCTGTTTCCAGCTTTCTTCCTGCCTACTGCTAATTCTTCTTTCTGTGCCCCAGGCCATGATGGTGGCATGATTGTGTTCAAACTAGAGCGGGAGCGGCCAGCCTATGCTGTCCATGGGAACATGCTTCATTATGTCAAGGACCGATTCTTAAGGCAGCTGGACTTCAACAGCTCTAAAGATGTCGCCGTGATGCAGTTGCGGAGGTGAGTCAGATTAGTAGTTTGCTTCTCTCCATTATCATGAGGTACCCACAAACCAGGCTCTGTTCCCTGAACAGTTTGTATTTCAACTCCACTCACAGATCCCCATTTTGGAGACTGCTCAGTTTAAACCCCAGCATGTGATGGCAAGTGGGGGGCTACGAGGAATGAGAATTCCCCTGCTGGGAATGCTAGTGACCAGGAGGAGAGGAGCTAGTACTGCCATTTGTCAGATGTCTTGCAAAACAGAAAAAGAGACCTTCTTGCCTTTGATTTGGCATTTCTGTAATTTCCTTTGCTTTCCAATAAAATGCCCACAACTCTAAATATATGTCTCTGGAAGTGCTAAACTCTGAAGATGCTATAAGCTCTGAGAGGCCTGGCAAAGGAACTGTCCTCTTGGAAAGCCAGCTGCATCAGTGTGCTGAAACATTCATGGTGACAGACTTTGGCATGAGGGTTTGATAACCACCCTCCAGCATCCCTGCAATAAAAAAGGGGGTTAGTGTGAACACTCTAAGGAGAACGAGCCAGAGATGGATCACATCATGTGCGTGGTATCCGCTGTAGTCATGTACAGGAATTTGTATCCAAGAATACATCCCACTCACAACAGAGAGATAGCTAATCCTACCTTCTGTTGGATAATTTGATTTGTACTAGGTGTGCTATTTAAATTGTTTGGTCAAGCTGAGATACACAAATCTCCATGACTTAAAGGGAAAAAGATAATGGTTGTAACATTTATTTACTTTTATTCCTGATGAAAAGTAAGTTTTATGTAAGTGATAAGTAGGAGGTATAAAAGTAATTCTTGACTTCCTTCTATCCTTATGCCTCTTTCCAATTTCATCTTTATGTATGTCTAGTGGTTCCAAGTTTCCAGTGTTCAACATGTCATACAATCCAGCAGAAAATGCTGTCCTACTGTGTACAGTAAGTAACCTGTGGAGTCCTCCTGGGAGCTCCCTCTTTCCCACAGAGTTCTTTCTTGTGTCCTTAGGAAATCTTTCATGGCTACTTAGAAGATGTTATATGATTATTTTGAGAGACCTAACAGTGAACACAGGTTCAAAGTGAGATAGACTTCAGTTGTCTTAAACATGTTAAGGGTTTGTGAATTTATACCTCTCAAAGGCTAATGACTTCTAAACTTAGCGAATGGAGTATTAATGTGAATGATGAAATCTCTAAAAGCAAGTTGGGAGAATATTTAGGACTATATTCTGTGTAAAGGACATGCTTACCTTGTTGCCACTATCTAGGTAAAACTAGAAAAGCTGTGTTTGTGAGGGGTTCCTTTCAGTGGCCCTCAACTCCTTCCATGCAGTTTGGAGGAAAAATAAAAGAGAAATGAGATCCTAATTGTAGTGCCCTTATTGCTAGTTTGAAAAGAATAAACGCCTTTCTTTCCCTGTGTGCTTCTAGTGTCTGATCCCAGTCCTGTTGTACCCCACAGTCCTATTCTTCCCTCTGCAGTGTCTTTAATAAACGTTTTCTCTGATGTCTTTTTTCTCTTCAAACAGACTTTTAAGTTGATGAGTATACTCAGGTGGGGCACCAGAATATTGGGTCCTTGTCTTTTTAACTTGTGGATTAGAGAACAATCCTGACTTTTTCTTTCAAATATCTGTAGTCTGGGGTGGGGAGGGGAGATTAAAAAAAAGAACATGAATGCTAAGTTCTTTGGCAAAGAGCTCTGTAATTTTAGTTGTAGAAACATTTAAATGCCCACTGGGTGAAAGGTGAGAAAGGAATAGCCTCACATTGCTGTGTACGTGATGGTGTTGTGCTCTCAGTCAGAGTGGACTGGTGTCGGGTACCTCCCACTGACAGTTTCCTCCTTTCCTCTCCAGAGAGCCAGCAATTTGGAGAACAGCACCTATGACTTGTACACCATCCCCAAGGATGCTGACTCCCAGAATCCTGATGGTAGGTGTCCTTTTTTCTGCCAGCCCTGCTTCTAGCTCTCCTCACCCGCATTGTCCCTCCTTTGAAGTTGTATCACTTTCCATCCCTGCCTCGGCCACATCACTCATGTCTGTTGGCAGGTGCCGCTGACAACAGCATCAGAGGCGACTGTGGTGTGAAATATTCATGTCCCTCCTCCATTTTATGACTCCAGCTAGATATATATATTTTATAATTTGGTTATTAGAATCTCTCCATTTTCTCTCTCAGCACAGCGTGGCATCCTGGTTTATTGTCAGCTGATAGGACTGTCACCCTTGTACTTTCATTTATTTAGAAATGTGGTTCCAATCTTGTAGTGTCTCATCCTGGGACTAGGGATTTATTCTCTCCTATCCACATCCAGACCCAATTTGCTTCCTTTTCATGTCAAAAGATGGGCGTGCTAACAGCCCACACCTCACCAGGGACCCAGATCCAGCTGAGACCTCCCCGCCCCACCCCCCATCACCATTCCTATTGGTGCCCTTGCCCTGAGAGCTTGCTGACTACACATTCAGCACAGATCTGGGTCCTGCTGCTTTTAATCTCTTCCTCTTGTGGGCACATAGATCAGTGGTTCCCCACTCTCAAGTTGCCCTATTTTTTTTAAAGATTATTTATACATACAGAACTAGGGTACAGGCCAGAGGAGCGGAGTCACCAGAGACAGAGTGGGGAGCAGAGTAGGCGGATCCACTGAAACACACTGCTGAGGGGAGCAGCGGGGGTGGGAGGGCTCAGGAGAGGTCTGCTGTGGCATGTGGGTCACCTCCCTAGTAGGGATCAAAACTGGTGCTGCAGTGGCTGTGATAGCTTCATAGTGCTGTGCTTTACCCCTTTGTGGTGCACTTCTATGACTCCAGCAGATTCCCGAGAAGTGTTTTGCTAGTTCTTTTCCTTTCGTAGATCCACTTGTCATTATTGCTGTTAATCCAGTTCACTCTCTTTTAAATGTCATGGGCAGCTCTTATCCTCTAAGACTGCCTGCCTGTTTATGTGCATGTGTTTCTTTAATCTTTAATAAATTTGCCATGTGCTGGTGAAAAATAAGTGGTTACGGCGAGAGAGACAGAGAGAACTAGTATGTTTTTGGCATTCATAAATCATAGCCTCCCCTAGACATTTATTAAACCATTTTGACTAAATATTATGATTTGGTCCCTCCCTACCCACTCCCTTGCATTTGTTTCTGGTTTGTAATTAACAGAATTTTAAATACCTTTATTTTGTTTTATTACTTTTTTTCTCTTCTTCGTCTTTTGAGGGAGATAATAATGTGTAAAAGAATAAAGGTACAACCCAGTGAAAGACTGAAGGAAAGAGTAGGCAACAGTGCAGAAATTTGAATTATGTGGTTCTGCAGCCCCTGGAAAATTAGTGTTGGTTGTGATAATTAGTTTTGCAGGTAACCCCAGTTGCTGCATGTGTCAGAGAAGTTCAAAGCAAAGGTGGCCAGGGAGTTCTGATGGAGTGTGGTTTCTTGCTAATACAATAGATAAAAGAGTACGTCTATTCATCCTCGGTGTATCCCTCTTTAAGTTTCCTAGAGAGTGGGTGCCCATTCAAAAGTCTAATAGCCACTAAAGTGTTCAGGAACTGACAGCATTTTATAACTTTCTTTAAGGTAAAAAGAATGGTTGATTGACATTTATGGAGCAACAGCTCTGTATAAATGTTGCCCAGCATGGAACTGGCCTGCCCAGATTGAAATGGGAGCCTTCACCCCACCCTATTCTCTAGGAGATCTGTATTTGCATGTTAAAAGCGACACAGCAGCTGCGTCCTGGGGTGGGGGCTCCATCTACTCTGGAATTGTGAAGCTAGGAGGCCCAAGGCACTGAAGGGTTGCTTTGGTGTACCACAGCTTGGCGAGGGAGGCCCTGCTCGTTAGCTTGATGGAGTATGCTGTCTCCCAGGATGGGCGGCCCTTCTGCCAGGACATAGTGTTGGCTGAAATGCAGTCAGTTGGCCTAGAGAAAAGAGGCTTGGCAGGGGTGGAGGTTGGAGTTTGGAGGGGACTGGTGGAGAAGAGTCACTGACAATAGCCTCAGGTTACAGCTGAATTAGTTAGGAAGCAGCTGAACTGGAGAAAACAGCATGGCAGCCAGCAGGACCAACAGCTCTGTGGCACCTGACGCTGTCACCTGCCGGGGCCTCACCACATGCTTCCACCTTTGGTTTTGTCCTTCTCAGCCCCTGAAGGGAAACGATCTTCAGGCCTGACAGCCGTTTGGGTTGCTCGAAATCGGTTTGCTGTCTTGGATCGGATGCATTCGGTGAGTTAAGGCTAAAAGAATAAAACTTTGGAGAATGTGGTACCAGTGGCCTCTGCATTGTGAAGGAAAGAGCGTTCTCTACTTCCTCTCCTCTGGGTACCTTGGCTCCTCAAACACTTGCTTGACTCCAATTCCCCTGGATAAAAAGACATTAAAACTGATATTTTTGGTTCCAGATTAAGAACCAAATGAAAGTCACTCTTGACAAGACAGGAGCCAAACTCATCCATTTGAAATAGGTAGACTACATGAGGACTATTTGCTCCTCTCTATTTCACCTCTAGTCATCCTTAAAATATAAATAGTCCTGAACAGGATAAGTGAAGCCATCTCAAGAAAGTATTTAATTGAGATTTAAGCTTCAGAAGTACTGTTCTCTGTTTCATTGAGAAAATCAGACTCCAGCTAGGCTTCAGGATGGTGTTTAATTGAAGGAAGGAAGTATTCTTAAGGCAGATCTTGGTTAGAGTGGCCTGAACAAGAGAAAAAAAACATATAGTGAAACTGGCTAGCAGTTGCTGACGGGCACTGTCCTCTGTTGTCTTCTTATATGTGTGTGCTTTTCTTAACTCCACTTTGATGCTTATTTTAGCTTTTGATAAAGAATCTGAAGAATGAGATCACCAAGAAGGTACAGGTGCCCAACTGTGATGAGATCTTCTACGCTGGCACCGGCAACCTCTTGCTTCGGGATGCAGAATCCGTTACCCTCTTTGACGTACAGCAGAAGCGGTAACATATCCGGGGTCCCCTCATCAGACAGGCATGTAGTAGGAAAAAGCAGACATTTTTACTGGTAACCTTTTCCCTAGTGAGGTTGCCTCGGGGCTTGACTACTTCCTGGATTATACCCTATTAGATCCCCTCCAGCCTGTACACACAATAAGCCAAACATTGAGGGGCATAGTCACTCATTTGTTAAGAGTTTGAACTAAGAATGTTTTCAGGGCTTAGGATAACAGAGATGATAATGCAACATATAGTCTGGCAAATCAAACATACAAATTCCTGATAATCCATAGGAATGAAGGGAAAGGTGGGGTGGAAGAAGAATGTGTATAGTGTGAGCCTGATACAGAAGATGCTTATTTAGCACTATTTCAAAAAATTTGGCTTCATTAGTATGATGATGAAAAGGAGATAGGTCATAGCCTCGCCTGGGATAGGGAAGAAGGCCCACTCCTGCTCTTCTCTCCCCATCCCAGGACTTTGGCGTCTGTGAAGATTTCCAAGGTGAAATATGTGATCTGGTCAGCAGATATGTCTCATGTAGCACTCCTGGCCAAACATGGTAAGTCTTTCTTATCTCTGCCTCACTATGGAGACCAGCCTCCTACCCCACCTGCCACCTGCCTCACTCACCTGTCCAGCAGAGCACTCATGCCCTTTGCCTCTTACAGCCATTGTGATCTGTAACCGCAAACTGGAGGCTCTGTGTAACATTCATGAGAACATCCGTGTCAAGAGTGGGGCCTGGGATGAGAGTGGGGTCTTTATCTATACCACAAGCAACCACATCAAATATGCCGTCACTACTGGGTAAGTCAGCCACCCGAGACAACAGTGGGAGGAGGTGGCTCTTGCAATCACTGTCCTGTCTCCAGAGATGTCACTGCTGCGCTTCTTCAACTTCCGTCCTGGAAAATCTCTGTCTGGCATATATGTACTGGGGCATACAAGCATTCTCTTTTCAACGCTCTTAAAGTTGTCAAATGTGACACAAATATAGAAAAGTGCATAGGTTACATAGACTATAAATAAGTAGTCACTCAAACCAAGATAGTAAATAGTTCTGACATTTCAGAAGCCCTTTGCCATGTGGTTCTTATTAATCTTAACTTCCTCCATTTCCCACTAAAAGATAGTGACCTTTCTTCCTTGCTTTTCTTTGCAATTTTACCACCTATTGTGTATCTTAAAACACTGTTTACTTTTGCTTGCTTGCCTTCATACAAATGAGATCACCACATTTTGAATTTTACTTAATATTTTATTTGTAAGATTCATCCATGTTGTTACTTTAAGTTTATTTTCAGTGTTGTTAACAATTCTTTTATGTGACTATAAATGATTATCAGTGCTACTGAAAGGACTGTTGAGTGTTTGTGTTGTGCTCTCTCAGACCTTCCTTCCCATGTGTTCTGGTGTGTATGCACACCTACTTCAGGTTGCCTTGCCCAGAGTTGAGGTGGTGGGTCTCTGAGTGACATACCTTCACACTTAACAATATATGCCTGCCAGCAGTCGGTAAGAATTTTCTTGCTTGACATGAAGACCAACACGTAACTTTTGCCAAACTTACCTTTCTCATTTGGGTAATGGCATCTTGTAGTTTTACTTTACTAATCCCCAATTCTTAATGAAACTGAGCAGTTTCATAGGGCTATACATCAGGATGTCTTCTAGGAATTCTGGTTAAATCTTAACCATTCTTTTAATTAGTTATTCATGTTAATTTACAATGGTTCTTTATATATTTGAATATCAGGGCTAGATGCTACAAATGTTAATATTCCCTCCCATTCTGAGCATGGCCTTTCATTCTCCTTATCATATCCTTTAATGAACAGAAGTTCTTAAATACTATTGAATTTTTGAGTCTCTTATATCCTTTATGGATATTAAATTTTTTGTTCTACTTAAGAAATCTTTATTGACTCCCAGCATCATGCAGGCATTCTTATATGTTCTTATTTATAAACACAGTTTTGTTTTTCAAAGCTAGGCTTGTAATCTACCTGAAGTTGATTTTTAGGTATGATGTAAAGTATAGAGGCTCATTTCACATTTTTCCATAAGGACACTCAATTGTCCAAGCCTTTTCCCATAGTTCATTTTCATCTTTGTCATATATAAATTACATTTACAAAAACATAAGGATCTGTTTTCTGTGGTCTGTCGTTGGTTTAATTCTGTACACTCTTAAATATTGCCACTTTGTGAGTTAAATAGGTTAAATAGCTTCTCAGCGATTTCCTACTTTTTTTAAGTTATATGACTTTTTAAATAAATTTACCTTGAAAACGTATAATTTTTAGAATCAGTTTATGAAATTCCATGTAAAATAAAGCAAAAATACTTTATTAGTTACCTTTCTGCATTTCTGAGGTAGTAGTACAATTAATCTTTCATTGATCACTGTGGTGAATTAAGTGGGATTTATTTTTACAGTCTTAGACAAACATTGTATTCCTAATACAGATTAACTCAGTCATGAGATTTTTACCCTTTTCAAGTATTGGTAGTTTTAATTTGCTAGTATTATAGTTAGGACTTTTGTGTGTGTGCACACACACATGTGCACGCATACATGTGTGTGCAAGAACACAAATGCACAGGTGAGCACTTGCCCCTGTGCATACGTAAGGAGGAGCTGGAGAGGGGAGAGATTATGAGGTGGGCCTATAGGTCTCCCTTTTTCCTTCTTTGTTAGGTTTGGCTTCAAGATTGTGCTTATTTCATAAAATAAGCAAGTAGTGTAACTTCCTTTTCTCTGGATGAGTGTGTGTGAGATTGGAATTAATTGTTCCTTGAATGTTGGGTAAAATTTATCAGTGAAGTCATCCAGCTTAGGGCTTTCTTTATAGGAGAATTTTTATCTGATTTATTTCTGTAATAATAATAAGACTATAGGGGTTTTCTGTTTCTTTTTAGTCACCTTTGGTAAAATTTATTTTTCTGGAATTTGAACATTTAAGAAAAGTGTATATACACCCTCACATCCGCACAGTCTATAGTGATATCTCCTTTTTCATTCCTATTATTGCAATTTTCTCTTTTTACCTTAATTGAACTCCTAAGAGGTCTACTTACCTCAGTCTTACTCACCTTTTGCTGTTACTGAACTCTCTGTTGTATTTTTCTGTCTCTTAAATTCTGCTGTTAACTTTATTATTTCCTTCTAAATATATTCTTTAGTTTAACTTTAAAAAGAACAATACACTTTTGAGATGGTGCTTTTTAATTTTTAATCTTTTTTCTTCATATGGGCACATAGACCTCATTAATTTTTGGTGTCCCTTCCAAGATATTTATTTAATGCTACAAATTATCCATCAAGTATTGTTTTAGCTATACCCATAAATTTTAATTTGTAATCTTTTTATTTTTATTCAACATAAGATATTTTTTGCTTCTCATTATCTTTGTGTGTCACAATTCGTCACATCTCTTCTACTTTGACATATACCTTATAAGGAAGGAGGTGACTATCCATAGCATCCTACACTTATATGACACAACTTAAGATACACCTTTTAAGTCTGACTCCTGCTGTCATGCCTATTATTTGGAGTAACAACCTATGAGGAAAGAGCATAGCAACTGCCCCAACTTTCCCTACCTCACACAAAAGAATGAAAGGAGTGAACTTGGCATTAGTTCTGCTCTCTTTGAGTCACATTCCATCTGTGCCACTGTCAGGTAGCACTTGACAGGGATAATAAAAAGGCAAAAGCCTGTGTCCCAGGCTCTTCTCCATTTCTTGCAGACTTGATCACCTTACTTGCTGAAAGTTGTTCTCTCTGCTTCCCTCAGGGACTACGGAATCATCCGGACTCTGGATTTACCCATCTATGTGACTCGGGTGAAGGGCAACAATGTCTATTGCTTAGACAGGGAGTGTCGCCCTCGGGTGCTCACCATTGATCCCACTGAGTTCAAGTTCAAGCTTGCCCTGATCAATAGAAAGTATGATGAGGTATGAAATAAGAAATCTCTCCAGAAGTGTTGAAAGACTATGCTCTTTTCCCTGTAAGTGATTTCCATTTCCTGCCCTCTCCCACCCCAAATGTCTAGGTTCTACACATGGTAAGGAATGCCAAACTCGTAGGCCAGTCGATCATTGCTTACCTCCAGAAGAAGGGCTACCCAGAAGTGGCACTGCATTTTGTCAAGGATGAGAAAACTCGCTTTAGTCTGGCACTGGAGTGTGGAAACATTGAGGTAAGAAGGATATTGTAAATCTGTATCACTTCAGGCTGATGAGAGGGCTAGGGAAAACATGGGAACATGATTCTGGGCTTACGTCTTTGACTGTGTAATGGAATTTAGGGTTTTGTAGTTGTTGGATTGAATTATCTTCCAGTTTCTATTTGCTGGTCTCCATTTAGTCCCATCTCTGCTCTGCTACAGCATTTCTACTTCTGAAATTGCCAGTAGGTCTGAACTCAGTAACTTCTAGAACAGGAGTAATAGCATGAAATTTGAAAAATCTCATTCTTTTCTTGACATTTGACTTACTGATAGCCTGCTCAGATGAAGAGGTTTATTAAAAACCAGGGTTCAGAGTCTGTAGGCATTATTTTTAAAGATTTATTTATTTATGCATACAAGACTGGGTATAGACCAGAGGTGCAGGGGGTGAGAGGATTCACCAGAGACAGAGTCGGGAACAGAATAGGCTGACTGACTGAGAATACACTGCTGAGGGGAGCAATGGGTGGGTCAGGAGAGGTCTGCTGTGCCATGTGGGTCATCTCCCTGGCCAGGGGATAGAACTCACACTGCAGATAGCTTCATGGTACTGTGCTTTAATCCATTGCACCACCAGGGAGGACCCCCCCCCTTTAGACCTTTAAACCTGACAAGTGGAAAATAAGATTGATAAGCAAGAATTGGCCCTATGGAATTGGCAACTACTAGGAGATAACTTTGTTATAAAAGTAGATTTCTCAAGCATAGGACAATGTGATTCTTTATCAATGGATCTAAGGGGGGGCTTATTTATTAGTAGAATTTTCAAAAAAGAGCCTCCCTAGTGGTGCAGGGGGTTAAGTCTCAGCACTATGAGCTGCCAGCAGCAACTATAGTACAAGTTTGATCCCCGGCCAGGGAGCTGACCCACATGGCACAGCAGACCATTCCTGCCGCTGCCCTCCTGATCTGCCTGTTCTGCTCCCCACTCTGACTCTGGCGAATCCTCTCACCCTCCACCCCAGCTCTTGTATGTATAAAAATACATCTTTGGGGGGGGGGTTTAAATAGATTTAGACAAAAAGGTTTGTGTGATTGGAAGCACTGATAGTTCCTTGGGAGACTGATAAAGAGGCAAATACTTTGCCTATAGCCCCTGGTTTTAAGTTGTATCCTCAGCCTTTTACCTGTAACCTTGGGACTCTTCAGATTGCTCTGGAAGCAGCCAAAGCCCTGGATGACAAGAATTGTTGGGAGAAATTGGGAGAAGTAGCCTTATTGCAGGGGAATCACCAGATTGTGGAAATGTGTTACCAGCGCACCAAAAATTTTGACAAACTTTCCTTCCTGTATCTCATCACTGGCAACCTAGAGAAACTCCGCAAGATGATGAAAATTGGTAAGAGCTCAGATACCAAAGATGGAAAGAAGGACACTAGGGGGGAGAGGTGGGTGCAGAGAAGGAAAACAAATAGAAAAACAGCTAACAAATCTCTTACTGACATGGTGCAGCTGAGATCCGCAAGGACATGAGTGGCCATTATCAAAATGCTCTGTACCTGGGTGACGTGTCAGAGCGGGTCCGGATCCTGAGGAACTGTGGGCAGAGTGAGTATCAATCCAGGACTCGCCAGCTCCCCTTGGTTCTTTGTGGTAAGTCATTTATGTTCAGTGGGAGGGATTACCCTCCATTACACATCTTCTCAGAAGAGTCAACATGTTCTGCTCAGAAGACTTTCTTCATAGTTACACTGAAACACAGGCAGAATATTCACTCTGGCCAAGCACTATTCAGAAAACAGTTCACAGAGGAGATAAGAGGTTTTTAAAGGTCCAGAAGCAGACACCCTAGTGAATGCAGTTAACTGAATGCATTAGAAATTACTTTGGAAGTTTTACTCATTTGTTTACTCATTTGTATATTCTGGGGACATTATACTAGTATTTGGGATACAGCAGGAAAAAATAAGGTAGAAGATGTGGTTTGGACCAAGGTGTTAGCTGGAAGGAATCAGATCAAGCAGATATTTTCAAAGTAAAAACAACAGCTTTTTGAAGGAGTGACTGTATGATATGAAAGAGAAGTCAGGGATGGTTCCAGATTTCCCCTTAACACCGATGATAGAACAAAGCAGCAGTATTCGTTATGTATTGCATAACAAATTACCCCAAACTGTAGTATAGAACCCCAGCTGGCACCACTGACCTCACATCTCATGATGTGCAGCCATCTCAAGGCCTCTGTGGCGAAGAGCCTTCCCTGCTCACTGTGTGACTATGGGCATCCTTAGTCCTCACTCTCTGTGGGCTGGGAGATGACAGTTCTCTGCTGTGTGGGCTTTTCTGTAAGGCTGCTCATAGCATGACAGTTCATTCCCTTAGCAAGTGTGCAGGGGAGGGTGCCCAGAGAGGCCATGGTCTTTGTCCTGGTGTCAGAAGGCACATCACTTCCTGCCATGTTTTGCTCACAATAGAAGCAAATCAGCAAGTTCAGCCACACTTAGGTGGGATTGTGCATGAATGTGGGTACCAGGAATAGGGCCCATGGAGCATTTTGGAGACCACCCATCATGGCTATCTGAACTGAGAACATCCCTATATCATGCATTCTCTACCCACAGAGTCACTGGCCTACCTTACAGCTGCTACCCATGGCTTAGATGAAGAAGCTGAGAGTCTGAAAGAGACCTTTGACCCTGAGAAAGAGACAGTGAGTGTATTCATTTGAGAATTAGCTCTGGGAATTTGGGACATTTTAAAACCACAGTTGTCACTTTCTCACCTGGAGAGGAAGAGAAAACAAATGTGAGCAAGAGAGGCTGATTACCTCTCTGATTCCTGAGAGTGGTTTGCTTTAAAAGAGGTTAAAACCTCTTTCTTTTCTACCTCTTAGATCCCAGACATTGACCCTAATGCCAAGCTGCTTCAGCCACCTGCACCTATCATGCCACTGGATACAAACTGGCCCTTGCTGACGGTGTCTAAAGGGTTCTTTGAGGGCTCCATTGCCAGCAAGGGTGAGTACCCTTTCTCCGTACAATGTTGTTTGGTGAAGACATGTCCTCAGAATATGATAAGCTCCTCTGCCCCTCATTCTATCTGAAGCTTCAGGGGGCAGTGAGATGCCATTTAGAGTCATGAAACTGTCTTATGAGAACTAAAAGCATTTCAAGGTCATTAAACAACACTTAGAAAATAAGAAAGAAAAAGAAGGGTTGTCTCTTGCTGCACACCTCTGACAGTCACTGTTAATGTTTTGGCCTATTTCCTTAGGTTTTACTGTATATATCTTCCTCACTGGTCAGTATTTTGTCATCATGGTATACAATCTTAAGGTACAAATTTAGCCACCTCAGTTGTGTCCAGTGGGGATGTGCAGGTGCTTGTTGTACTCCTGCACACCAGCCTTTACTCCCATCTTCTTGATATGTCTATAATTCATTTCTTCTGACAGTCTAAATGACTGCAGGGCATTTTCTGCCCAGCTCTGTGCTTGCTTTTCTCCTTCTGCCATCCCAGTGTCCTCCTGCCACAAATTATATGCACTGCAATGGTGGTAACTTAGTGGAGTTCCTAGGAAGAAATTCTAAGAGCTGGTATCTAAAGGCTGGTGAGTAGAAAATGGCTTCAGAGCCATTGTTTGGTAGCAAAGGCCACTTATGACCATACATCTTTCTTCAGTTCCCTCTGTAGACTCATTACAGGTTGTTACATCACAAAAATAAACAAAGCACAGTAAGTGGGCAGAACCTAGCCACCAAAGGTGGATATAGTTTGCTTGCACAGGCGGTCATGTCTCAGACTTAACTGGCCATAACCAGCTCTCTCTACTCCTCCCTCGTAGGGAAGGGTGGCGCGCTGGCGGCTGACATTGACATTGACACTGTTGGCACTGAAGGCTGGGGAGAGGATGCAGAGCTGCAGCTGGATGAAGGTGAGGATGCAGTCTAAGGACCACAGCATGCTGGATTATACTCAGGATGGGCAAGGGCTGCAGACTTCCAGACCTTGGAACCAACAAGGAAGCCAGCTCTTTATTCTCCAGCTTTCATTGTGTCACCAGCCCAAATTTATTTTACGCCTGAATTTTTCTTACAGATGGGTTTGTGGAGGCCACCGAAGGTTCGGGGGATGATACTCTTGGCAAGGGGCAGGAAGAAGGTGGCGGATGGGATGTAGAAGAAGATTTGGAGCTTCCTCCAGAACTGGTATGTGGAATTGGTTTTGTCAGGTCCTCCCCATCTCCCCCTGTGGAAGCCAGTGGCATTATGGCCCCTGCCCTGAGGTCTCCAGGAGAGGGAGGGCTCTCAGTCTGATGCTTACCTCCCACTTGAAGGAAAGGAAGAGATAATCAGGGTGACGACACAGCTTAGGAAAAGGCAGCAGGCTTTTTGCCTGAATTAGATCTTTTGGCATATTATTTTGTTCCTGGGAAGACTACTCCTGTTTTGAGGATCTTCTCCCACAGCCATCACCCCTTCCCCACTAGGGGCTGGGAACAAGGTAAGGACTTTGTCTTATCAGAATGAGTGAAGGTTGTCAGAGTAGCTCACTTTTTGTTTCTCCCCCAGGATATACCCCCTGGGTCAGCTGGAGGGGCTGAAGATGGTTTCTTTGTGCCCCCTACCAAGGGAACCAGCCCTACTCAGGTAAGCAAGTGAATACTCTAGAAATAAGTGATTCCATTCCACTCAATTTATGTGTTGTAGCATTGAGACTTTTCCACTGTAGATAAAAAATAGGGTGATTTAAGAAGAGAAAGAAGAAAATTCACTTCTGTTGTCTGTTTCTTGTCAGACCTGGTGCAATAACTCTCAGCTTCCAGTTGACCACATCCTGGCAGGCTCTTTTGAAACAGCCATGAGGGTAAGTCTTAGCTTAACCTTGGCTCCTGATGAGTGTATTTCACTCAGGGTCCCAGAGATGTGGCTCACTAAGCTTAGCCAAATGGAAACGGTCTGCCCAATAGGGCAGAGGTGTGTGTACATCATGGAAGCGCTAGATTTTGCCTGAGAACGCTTGCCTCTGAGGCGTTCTCTTACCTGCCTTCCAGTTGAATAGTAGCCACGTATGTAGCTTTTTCCAGCACCTACCATCTTTAAACTGCATACTGGCTCTCCTCTTTGACATCCACATTCCTGCAAGAACAGGTATATATTTCAAACACAGAGCCTTGTGTCACTGTAATAACCACTACAATTTATGTAGTATTGATTTTGTGCCAGCATTGTCTCAGTGCTTTATAGGCATTATTGAATGAGGTCGATGCCATGGTCAAGCACACTTTACTGATGAGGAATCAAATACAGAGAAGTACCTCACCTAAATTCAACTAGTTTTTAAATGGTAGGGCTAGAATTTTTGTTTCTTTCTTGTCTTCCAGTTACTTCATGACCAGGTGGGTGTGACCCAGTTTGGCCCCTACAAGCAGCTGTTCCTGCAGACGTACGCCCGCGGCCGTACCACCTACCAGGCTTTGCCATGCTTGCCTTCCATGTATGGCTATCCCAATCGCAACTGGTAAGGCCCTTGCTCCTTGCTCTCCTCTCTGCCCAGTTGGCAGCCTCTTTGACAGTTAGATTGTCTCAGAACTGGGCTTTGCTAGAAGGAAAAGATCCTGCTTCCCATTCTTGGGAGGTTTGGTTTGTGTCTGCTACACCTTGTTCCCCCCATACTTTCATGGGAGGTAGTTAATGACCATGTTGTCAGAAAGAGAAGTTGAGGCTTAATGACTCCTGAGTGTGTCTTCTCATCCTGCTCTTTCCAGGAAGGATGCAGGGCTGAAGAATGGTGTGCCAGCTGTAGGCCTGAAGCTGAATGACCTCATCCAGCGCCTGCAGCTGTGTTACCAGTTCACCACGGTTGGCAAGTTTGAGGAAGCTGTGGAGAAATTCCGTTCCATTTTACTCAGTGTGCCACTGCTTGTTGTGGATAATAAACAGGAGATCGCAGAGGTAGAGGAGGTCTAGCTACTTGTCCTGGTCCTGGCACACCCCAGTGCCCCATAAGCATGCCTCTGTACCATGACTTACCTTTGTCCTTGGCTCCAGGCCCAACAGCTCATCACCATTTGCCGTGAGTACATCGTGGGTTTGTCCATGGAGATTGAAAGGAAGAAGCTGCCCAAAGAGACTCTAGAACAGCAGAAGCGCATCTGTGAGGTAAAAATCCTCACCTTACGTTAGTTCTCTGGGTCCTTCAATTCTAAACCCAGATCTCAGTCTGGGGAGAAAGAAAAGTTGGGTCCATTTCTGTGAGGAAAGGATGTATTCCTCTACCCTCCATCCTCACCCCAGTGGTCTGCCTTATCTAGGAGGCAGCAGCCCTGGCTTGCTTTGTTTTGATTTGATGGCTGTAAGGCTGCTTAGTCCATCTCCCCTGGTTGTGATCAGCTAATTTCTGTTCCTCTTTTGTCCACCAGATGGCAGCCTACTTCACTCACTCCAACTTGCAGCCTGTGCACATGATCCTGGTGCTGCGCACAGCCCTCAACCTCTTTTTCAAGCTCAAGAACTTTAAGACAGCTGCCACTTTTGCCCGACGCCTGCTAGAACTTGGGCCCAAGCCAGAGGTGGCTCAACAGGTAACTAGAATCCCTTTAGTGAGCCAAGGCAGACTAGATCTGCTCTTGCAGATCATAGTAAGCCAAGGTGCTCCTCTGAAAAAGAGCACTGACAGCAGCATTCCCAGTGGATGCCATCTTCATCCACTTAGGGCCATGGTGCCTCCCTTGTTCCTGGAAGCTGAGCAGGTAACTTACGTAGACATGGCCAAGTATGAGAGTGACCTGCAGCCTAGAGCAGCCCTACCATGGCTGAAAATACCCCATTCCTAGAGCCATTATCACCACCACACATCTCCACATGTACCCCATTACTTACTACCTCCAAAAGCATTTTTCTTGGACAGTAGATACCAGTCTTAACCTTTTCAGACCTGTTCCTGAGCTCCTGACTGTGATCAGCCCCAATCCCGGTCGGGGAAGGTGGGTCTAGACCCATGGTGCCACTTCAGTATTGAGCTGGCAGCTGTATCCTTTCACTTATACCCTGGACAGAGCCTTCATTACTCATGCCACACAGTTGCAACTTGCATCAAAGAAACCATGCAACCCTAGTGAGATCATTTGAGTTGTGGTGTGCAGCTTTTTGTCCTCTTAAATAAAAAGTTACTTCATTCTTTAGACCCGGAAAATCCTGTCTGCCTGTGAGAAGAACCCTACAGATGCCTGCCAGCTCAATTACGACATGCATAACCCTTTTGACATTTGTGCTGCATCCTATCGGCCCATCTATCGTGGAAAGCCAGTGGAGAAGTGTCCACTCAGCGGGGCCTGCTATTCACCTGAGTTCAAGGGTCAAATCTGCAGGGTCACCACCGTGAGTGCTTTCCTGAAGAAATGAGTCTGAGGGCACAGGAGTGTGTGGGGCGTAGAATATGGTCTCTTCCTGTGTCCCTTCAGGCAACAGGTCTGGAGAAGGCTGGAGCCAATGAGTGTTGGGGGTAGCAAGATTTCTCTCATAAGTCCCTGACCTTTCTTCCTCTTTCTACAGGTGACAGAGATTGGCAGAGATGTCATTGGTCTGAGGATCAGCCCTCTCCAGTTTCGCTAAGTTCCCCTCTGTGGTGTGTAGGGTCCATCACCGTGTTTTCCCTAGAGAATTAGTTTCTATCTTCCAGTTTCCCTCCTAGAAAGCCTTTCAGAAGTGTCCACATTTAGCTGACCCTACCCCAAAGCCTCATGTCCTTTTCTCTGTAATGGTGATCAAATGTCATAACTTGACTCTTGCCGCTGACGTTCCCTGTCTTCTCAAGATGTCTCCATTGGTCACAGTTGCCTAACCTCCCCAGCATAAGTCTCTCAAGGACAAATGAAAACTCATTGATGAACATTTGTGTAGGACATTCCTTCACTATTCATCCTGTCCCTCCTACCCCGCTCTTTCCTTTTTACTAGAAGTGAGCAGGTATAATAAGTAAGAACATCTTTTGCTCAGTCTCAGCAAACCCAGCCGTCCCTATTTCCCTAGACATTTCAGCTTTTAGGCAATGGCATTCTGTGTGCTAAAAATTTAAAGTCTGAGAAGAAACTATACAGTTTCCCAGAAATGCACATCACTTGTATGGGTTTATTCATTATAACTGTTGTTCTTGTATTTTGTGTCTCACACTAAATAAAATAAATTTCTACAAGAATTTCATGGCGTTCACACTTATGTTCCTATGTGTTCCATGCAGCTACCCAAAGCAGATCTCTTTCCTTTCATAATAATTTTAATTACAAAATAGTAAGTACCATTTATAGAAGAAATATCATATTTTTCATAGGATGTTAAAATGCTATGAAGATGGGAAAAATCAAGTAGCTCCTCCGTCCCATACTGGCTGCAGCTCTTGTTCTGTTGCTAATTATAGCAATAAAGTTTTATGAGAACTGACTGTGAATCTGTTGCTGTTGTAGGAATATCACAGGTAACATACATATGTAAGATTTATTAGCAGTACATTGTACAATAAGAAGTACATTAGCAGTAATTATCTTGCTTGTCATGGGCCTACACTAATTGGGTAGTACTTTTTCTTGATTTAAATATGCTTCTTTTTTTTTTTCATTTTAAACTTATTCATTAAACAGTGTCGTGATATAGTTCAGAGTCAGTAGATGTTCCATGACACATCTTCATCCCACCTTCTTTGCTCAGCCAACCAGTTCTCACCACTTTATCCTAAACAGGTAACCACTGTTAAGAGCTTTATCTCTGAAAGAGATTTTTACATATCTAAAAGCAGATATAAATGTATTTTTCTTATGTGCCTTTTATATATAAATGCACACAAACTATTTAATGATTATTCACCTTGTTTTTTCATTTAAGATACTTTAGAGGTTTTCCATATCAGTGTTAGAGCTTCATTTTTTTTCTTCTCCATGTAGTGCTATTACATAATTTATTTTAACTTTAATCTAAGTTGTCTCTTATTAATGGATATCTTGGTGTCCCAATGAAAAACTGCTACAGTGAGTAACTTGAATACATATGTTACAGGTAGGGAATAGGTCTGGAGGAGAAATTCCTAGAGATTGAGTTCCTGCAGCAAAGAACACGGACCTTCATATTTTCTTAGCTTTAAGAGTTGCTCCCTTAAACATTACCCTCAAAGATTTGCATCCTACTTTGATAACACTTTCTCAAGTTGCAAACGTTCTTTCTGTATACAGGAGCATTGAATTGCAAAATAAATTTTGCATATATAACAGACATCCTGAACTGAGGGATATGAAAAAAACTAATCAGTGCCTATTGAAGCTTAGAATATATTGGGAAATAATTGTGAATACCAGGCAAGAATTTGAAGTTGGTCATAAAACACTTGAAAGCTATTAAATCCTAAGCAAAGAGTGTTATAAAGAAAATGACATAAAATACTATTTTCAACAGTGTTCACTGTATGTCAGAAAGGCAGGAGGTGAGATGTTAGGAGTATCAGTAGTAAAAATAGTAGTGCAGAAGCCAATTTAGGAAGCCATGCAGAGGCCTCTCTGATGGCCTAGGGGTTAAGTCTCAGCCCTATTACGCTATCCCCTTGTCACCAATACTAATGTATCATCCAGGCCGAGGAGCTGACCCACATGGCACAGCAGACCTGTCTTACCTGCTGCTTCCCTCAGCTGTGTAATTTCAGTAGATCTGCCTGTTCTGCTCCCCACTGTGTCTCTGGGGAATCCTCTCCCTGCCCCCATATCTCTGGCTACACCCCAGTTCTATGCATAAATATTTTTTAAAAAGCTGAATGAAAGTCATGCTTTTTTTTTTTTTTATTCATACAGAACTGGGGTATAGGCCAGAGGTGCGGAGGGCGAGAGGATTCACCAGAGACAGAGTGGGGAGCAGAACAGGCAGATTGAGGAAGTACACTGCTGAAGGGAGCAGCGGGCTGGTCAGGAGAGGTCTGCCTCGCCATGTGGATCTCCTCTGGAGCAGGCCGGGATCGAACTTATGCTGAAGTGGCTTAAGCTTCTTAGTGCTGTGTTTTAACCCGCTGCGCCACCAGGGATAGCCACTTGTTTTTTTTTTTAATAATAGTTTATTTTTACATCATTGTGTGCCTTTTTCCATCTCAGTCGTAATCCCCGTGGGCTTCCCATCACCAAATCACCCATGTACCATCACCATAGTCTAGTGCATTTCCCTCCCCCCTCTGTTTTTGACCCCATTCCCCACTCTGCCCCCATAAAATGTCTCTGGTATGTAGCTTATTATGATTATTATTATTATTTTCTCACCTGATCTTTTATACTCCTGCTATGAGTGCAGCCATCAGTATTTTTTCCTTTTCTTTTTATCTTATTTCACTAAGCATGATCTTTTCTAGCTCCATCCATGTTGCTGCAAAAGGCATGTGTTTATTATAGTTTGTTGCTGAGTAATACTCCATTGTGTATATGTACTGCATCTTTTTAATACAGTCATCCACTTTTGGGCATTTGGGTTGTTTCCATTTCTTTCCAGCTGTAAATAAAGCAGCAATAAACATGGGAGTGCAGGTGTCTTTTTGAATCAGTGTTTTTGTCTTTTGGGTAGATACCTAGGAGTGGGTCTGCTGGGTCATATGGAAGCTCCATTTGTAAGTCATGCTTGTTTTTAACTTTAATTCAATTACCACTGAGCATTTTTCTTATTAACATATTAACATTACATTAATGTAAAGTCAATAGAAATACCTATTACATTTTTAAATGTGCTTGCTGTAACTGCTGTCAATGTTAGAGCTACACGTGAAAGCAGTTTGGAGTTGGATGAAAAAGTTAGCCTGCAGTAAATTGTTAATAGGTGAAAGAGGTTACTCAGGGAAGGTTTAGATTATTGAAATTTAGAATTGAAGATCTGGGAGTCCCAACTTTAGTGTTACATATTTGTAATTAGAGGTCTAGGATAGTGAAGAATGGTGAATAAAGTGATTTAGCAACAGACCTGGGTTTGGAAGTTAGCTCTTCAGACTCCCAGTATGGATTGTTCTCTCCAAGTCAAAGAACTTGCATTGTGCAAAGAATATGGTAGGGTGGGCCTCCCTGGTGGCTCAAGGGGCTATGATGCAGCATGGTGAAGCTATCTGCAGCCACTGCACCATGAGTTCAATACCAAGCCAGTGAGGTGACCCACATTGCTCAGCAGATCTCTCCTGTCTCACCCGATGCTCCTCTCACCAGTGCATTTCAGTCAGTCTCCCCTCTCTGTCTCTGGTGAATCTTCTCACTACCCACATGTCTGGCCTACACCCAGCTCTTGTATGCATAGATGAATAAATATTTAAAAATATATATATAATAAGGTTTGCATAGATGTGATTTTATAGTTTGTGACCTGTGGGGGGGGGGGGGAAATCTGATGTTTCACACAGTACAGAAGCCCTTGAGTGATATCTGCTTAAGGTTATGATGAGGAAAGAAAGCCAATTCTAGCCAATTTGAGAACCTGCTTTCTTTTTAAGTTATTTAAAGTCTTGATTTCCCAGTATCAAGTTTGTTAAGTGAAGACTTTCAGTACTCAAGTTTGTAAGTGATGAAAGCCATTAAGTGACTTATTTTCAGATAGATGTGTTTTCTCCTTCATGAACTTTATAGTACATTGTCCTTACTCTTCAGATCTCTACCTTGTGCCATATTTGTGTGTGTGTGTGTGTGCGTGTGTGTAATTGTATCTCAGCCTGATCCCCAGCCATCTACCTTACAACAGGGGGTGGTTCTGATTTGCCTCCCTTCCGTAGGGCCCAGATTTGAAACAACACCCCATATCCTTTAGGTGTCAGCATTGATGTGGATGCAGTTGGTATATTCAGGCAGCTGAATAGGAAAATAATTCCAAAAGAGGGAACGAATGAGAATGTATATAGTCGCTATCTGAGTCTTCCCCCAACCTGCATTTATTTGGAGGTCGGTTTCTCGCTGGAGCACTAGAGATAGTGAAGGAAGGGCCATTCCCACTACATCATAGCTACCCTCTTGTTCAGTCCAAGATACCAGAGTTGCTTTCTCTGTCTGATTTGATTCAACTGATAATGAATTTTAACGAAATTCCTGGCATTATCCTTTAGTCTGAAAGTTCTAACGGAGTCTAGGAAATGAGAAAGACCCACAGATTCCGTAGAGAAATGTGGAATTAGCGTTTGGAAAAGCAGAGTGGGTGCTCAGCTGACTACATTTTAGATCCAGCCTAGGACATGAAGACAAAGTCCTGCCTTCCTCGTGCTCAAATTCAGAGGCAGGGAAGCAATAGACAAGACAAGTACACAGTATGTCAGCGAGTGTCAAGTATTAGAAGATGAAAAGAGAGCGAGGGGGGTGGGGGAAGCATGTGTATGGGGAAAGGGATCTTATCTGTGAGGGTAAAGAACACGTCTCTTCAAGACAACTGGAGGGAAGATACTGGAGTCAAAGCAGAAGGGCGTGAGAGAACCACGAGTCGTCGCCACAAAGTCATGGCTCCTCGTTATCTATGGTGGATGGTTCAGTTGGCCTGTCCAAGACTCTCGGGAAAAAGTGGTGAGAGCCCTGATTTTACACGCCAGCAGGGCCAGGATTCGACTGAGCCCGATGAATTCGGTGTCTGGGGTCCCAACTTGAAAAAACCACCAGTTTCGGTCCCTTTAAAAATGGCGGCTCCGCGGCCGGCCACGCCATTGGCTGCACGAGGCGGAAGGAGCCTGGACACAGCGAGCTCCGCCCCCTACGGCGAGCCGGAGGAGCAACATGGCGGCAGCGGAGGGCAATAGTAGTGGCGGCGATGCGGACCGGGAGTTGGAAGAGCTGCTGGAAAGTAAGAGCTCGAGGCGCGGGAAGGGTGGTGGGGCGCGACAGGTGGCAAGTGGTCCGAGTGTTTGGCGGCGTGAGGGCGGGTCCGACCGCGACCCCACGGGAAAGCCGGTGTCACGCCTCAGTTTGTGGCGAGAGCGGGGGTGGGGGGGCCTGGAGGTCGGTTCTCCGCCAGAGGAGCGTGGGACCGAGGGCCCTGGGGACGGCGGCTCCCGGCCTTTCGCCCCAACCCGGGCGCCTCCCTGCACTGCGCTGCTTTGCGACACACGCCTCTTCTTCCCCCTCTCGGTCCTTTCACCTGTCTCCCGTTCTGTGTGGTGTCCGATCGAGCTGACACACTCCCCACTTCCCAAAGCCCTGGTGTCGACTCCCTTCCTACTGTTTGAAACCCCAAGCCTGAGACGGCTCAGGGAAGACACTTTGCCCTCCTGAAAGGAGGCGGATGTTCTTTTCTTAGCTCTGTCCTCCACTTTTTTGGCTTCTTTCCCAGAATGGGGCCAGTGCCCTCCCCCAGCCCTGGCAAGCAGAATAATGGTGTTCACACAGGCTTTTCAGGGCAGAGGTGAATATTTCCTGTCGCTTACCCAATCACAGAGATGTGGGCAGGCTGAAAAATGAACAGAAATAGTGAGGAATGCCCAATGACTGTGTCAACTGATAGCGATTATCAGCAGAGAGGAACCAGAGGGAGCTCAGGGACTGCACAGTGAGCCCAAGTGGCCCTCCAGTACAATGTAGAATGCAGACTCTTGTTTGTACTAGTTCCAAGATTGTATGGAAAGCTGGTAGTACTTACTGTGGTCTGCTTTCTTGCCAAGGATTATTCCATTGAGAGCTGCTGTGTGAGTTTAGGGGGCTGAGGATAGCTGTGCTCTCTACTCCTGAACGTGTATGGGATTTCTAGGAATCACTAGAGTGTGGCAAGTAAGGCACTGTGTAGATGGAGGTGTCTTTGCAAAACTCTTCTTAACTCTATGTAGCTCTGAGAAAGATGCTTGTTTCACCTTAAGGGATTTCTTCCTCTTTGAACTCAGTAAGTTAGGTAATGGACAGAAAGTGGGAGGTTTATTGGGACCAAGATGTAAAAAAGTGGAAAGTGTTAGGAATGTTGGAATTTGAAAGATCATTCTATTAATGCTTGTTCAGAAATCTCCACCTTGCATTCTCATACATCTCTGACACACACACACACCATATCTCTTGTCTCTGAAGGTGCTCTTGATGACTTCGATAAGGCCAAACCCTCCCCAGCACCCCCTCCTACCACTACAGCTCCTGATGCTCCAGGATCCCAGAAGAGATCACCAGGCGACACTGCCAAAGTATAAATTTCTCCCACTTGAGGAGGGGGCAGGGATGGGCATGCATTTCTGAGTAGAGGTGGGATAGGCCTCTGTGTGCAGAGAGGAGAGTGCCTCACACTGCTGAGTATTCTTACAGGCCTCAGTCCTTACAGGGACTTGAGGTTGAGTGGAGGGATCTAGAGAAAGTTCTTTGAGAAAAGAACATATTTAAGTCATTGTATTGGGAATACCACCTCAGTTTCTTCTCTCAGTGGCCAGATCCTTTTATTGCTGTCCTCATTAAGTGAGGTCATTAAACTGCCCATTAGAAGTGGGTAGGACCCATTGCCTGCAGCTTCTTTCAGAGGTCAGATGCAAATAGGATACATTTTCACCACTTCTCCCTTGCAGGATGCCCTCTTTGCTTCACAAGAGAAGTTTTTCCAGGAACTATTTGACAGTGAACTGGCTTCACAGGCCACTGCAGAGTTTGAGAAGGCCATGAAGGAGTTGGCTGAGGAAGAGCCCCACCTAGTGGAGCAGTTCCAGAAGCTCTCAGAGGCTGCTGGGAGAGTGGGTAAGCTGGGGGCAGACACTTGGAAGTATCTCAGCAAACCTCTTTATTGTTTGAGAACACCAGAATTCTTTTTTTTTTTTAAGATTTATTTATTTATGCGTATAAAACTAGGGTACAGACCAGAGGTGCAAGGGTGTTGGGAGGATTCACCAAAGACAGAGTGGGGGAGCAGAACAGGCAAAAATACACTGCTGAGGGGAGCAGTGGGTGAGACAGGAGAGGTCTGCTGTGCCATGTGGATCACCTCCAGGGTCGGGGAATGAACTTGTACTGAAGCTGCTGAAACTAGCTTGCAGTGATGTGCCCTAACCCACTGTACCACCAGGGAGGGCCGAGAACACCAAAATTCTTAATAAAGTTGATAGCAGTCATGATATCACTGCTATGGGAAGGGTAAGGGATCATCAAGGAGATGTCCAGAAGGGTGGTGACCATGAGAGGGATTCAAAGATTTGGGGTGATAGGGATTCACTAGTAAGTGTTCTGTGTCCAAGCTGGAACCAGGTCAATCTAAGTAAACAAACAGCTCCAATCCTAAATAACTATTAGTCTTTTGATTTTTCACAGGCAGTGATGCAACCTCCCAACAGGAATTCACTTCTTGCCTAAAGGAAACACTGAGTGGACTAGCCAAAAATGCCACAGATCTTCAGGTAAGGGGAAGAGGGAGGTGGGGAACCATAAGGAACCACTCCCAGAGACTTCAGCACAGTCTCTTATGACAGACTGTTTAAGTATCATCTCAATCTCTCCCTGCCTGTTTTGCTGCCTGCAAGTTTAAGAGGTTCTTTCCTACCAGAAAGCATCCCAAGAAGGTTGTATACTTACTCACCTCTCTCCCATGCTTTCTAGAACTCAGGCATGTCAGAAGAGGAGCTGACCAAGGCCATGGAAGGGCTGGGCATGGATGATGGGGATGGGGAAGGGAACATCCTGCCTATCATGCAGAGCATCATGCAGAACCTGCTGTCCAAGGATGTGCTGTACCCCTCGCTGAAAGAGATCACAGAGAAGGTCTGTGGATTCCTCATTCTTCATTGTACCATGGGCTTTGTGTCTGTTTAGAGCCTGTAGAGGTTGTAACTGAGTGTTCATTCCCTGTGTTTTTTTCTTGTTTGCTTGTTTATGTGGTGTGGGAAGAGTTTGGAGAAATGGTGTCTCTAAAGAATAAAACTACCACACTAAGGATGTTTAGAGTAGAATAGGAAATCCTTCAGATCTAGTATTTTGTGAACTATTTTGAGACTGTTGTCTTCTAATCATTCTCTTCTCTCACTTCTAGCTTCTCATTTCTCCAACAAGGTTTCATTAGGTATATGCTGGTTTTCTGCTCTGAACAGTTTAAGAGGCATTTAATTGATGGCCCCAATTGTCAGAGAGCTGACAGTTTTACTGGAAAGTGAGCACACTTTGGGTAGGAGCTTTTTGGTGATACAGGGTAACATGGTTGGGTGTGAAATGAGTAGTACACCAAGGGTCAGTGGGCCAGGGTCCAGGTAGACCAAATCCAGCTCTCAAGCTAAGAATGGTATTTGTATTTATTAGAGGTTGTAAAGTCAAAGCAGAGAAATGAGAAAGAACATGAGGTAGAAACCGTACTTGGCTCTGAAAGTCTGAAATATTTACTACCAGGTCTTTTGCAGAAGTTTGCTGGCCTCTGGTGCCATAAATGCCAGCTTAGCAAGTGATGCGTGCTGCCGCTTCTTCTGAATTCATTCTCAGCTTGCCTTCTCCTGGGCCCCCTTCCCTTCTAATTTCATTGTCCTTCCTTATCCATGCGCATTCAAGTCTTCCCCACCCATTCTCTTTCCTTAGTACCCAGAATGGTTGCAGAGTCATCGGGAATCTCTACCTCCAGAGCAGTTTGAAAAATATCAGGAACAGCACAGTGTCATGGGCAAGATATGTGCACAGTTTGAGGCAGAGACTCCTACAGACAGTGAGGCCACCCAGAAGGCTCGTTTTGAAACTGTACTGGATCTCATGCAACAGGTCAGGCCTCCCCTTCCATCTGCCCACAAACGCTGTCTGCTTAGGTATTCAATGGGAGTGTCTGGAAAGGCAGTTGTATTTGGGTGGTGGGGGTACCCACCAGAGAGACCTCATAGCATAGTCCCTAGGAGAAAGCAGAGAGACCTCACTCAGATTCCTCTCTGGGGCTGCTACATTATTGTCTGGGATCTTCTCTATCCCATGTTCTTCTTTTCTCATTTTCCAGCTACAGGATTTGGGTCATCCTCCGAAAGAGTTGGCTGGGGAGATGGTGAGTATATTTCTTAAATTTTAATTTGAGCCCTTTTTCAGAATTGTGGTATCTTTAGTGATGCCCCCTCATTGTGGCTACTACAGATTAGATCTTTGGAAGTTCTAACCTGAAACTGGAACAGTTATCTGAATCCCTTCATCTTTTCTCCAGCCTCCTGGCCTCAACTTTGACCTGGATGCCCTCAATCTGTCAGGCCCACCAGGTGCCAATGGTGAACAGTGTCTGATCATGTGAAACACAGCACCTTTTTCTCCCTGATTCCCAGCCCTGGGGAACATCTGGAGTCAGCAGAACCACTGGCAGCTGATGCAGGAATGTCGTCTGCAGGAGTGGCCTGCCCACTGCTCTGTTATCCCGCCCAAGGTTACGCCATACCAACCGAGGGTTTTCCTCTGTCTTCTAGGAACAAGGCCATTTCAGTGAGCCCTGTCCATTGTGGTTTCTGCGACAGGCAAAGGCCCACAGCCTAGCAGGTGATGGAAGGTGGCATCCCTTTCGGGTCTTCCACCTTCTTCCCACTCCAAAAATGATGTTATATTCAACCACAGTGATGTTTACCTCTGCACCCAGGGTCTTCGTGCCTTGTCTCTACTCCTTTCCTTGGACCTAGGGAGCAAGGACAGGGTCCTGGGTCTCTGGATTCTGTAGCACTCTTGGTAGGAATGAATGTGGGGAAACTTGGCCTGGAGTGGGACTGGAAGTCGGTCATTATGCCTTCTTGAATTTTCTGAAGGGAAGGAAGTGGGACTTTGCCATCTACAGTGGGGTTAAAAAAGACGCTCTCCAGGTGCTGAGCCTGCAGCTCCGTGTTCCAGCCTCAGAACCCAAGTTGCTGCCTGGCTCTCCAATAATGCTGTATGATCTGGGTGAACCCAATCTTGCCCTTCTTTTGCCCCCTGCCTCATTTCTTCTCTTTGTAAGCATCTGTTTATTCTAACCCTTCTCTGAGCCCAAGCTGTGACATGGAAGGGGCCATCCTGTTTTCCCTCATGTAGTCCATCTCCCACCCCTCAGTTGTAAACAGAATCATAGTGTCAGGTCTAGGGAATGAAAGACTATTCTTCCACAGATATTTGGGGACTTGGGGAAACATCTGATTCCTTTGAACCCTGTCCCTTGATTCAAGGAGATGGCTTGGGAAGGGGTCTGGTGTGCAGCCCAGGTCCGTTTCCCTGACTAATAAACATTTTGAGTGGGAAGTGTAGCCTGTTTTTCATCCAGGTCTTTTTCTGATTTCCCTCAGCTTCTATGAACTGCAGTGTGAGTACTGTGTTCACCTTCTCCCCTTGTGGGCAAAGGGAATGACTGATTCTCCTCATTTCCTCCAAGGGGCTCAACCTGGGAAGCCTTCTGTTGGCACTGTATTTTAACATTTCACATTCTCATTAATGTTAATAATATGTTGTTTAACTTTCTAGGGTTAAGTTTTTAAATTTTCTTTGAATTCACCTTTTCCTTCTCTGTGGGAGCCATTGTACCTTGGCTGCCATAGTAGATACTCTAGTCAGACAAGCCAGCTGTTCTGGCTTAACATTCAGAAAACAGCTACTCAAGCAAATTCACATTCATCACTGAGTCATACTAAGCTTCTGACATGGGACTTTCCCCTGGGTTAAGACTTCACCCCTTAAGATACCATGTGTTCTGAGGTTTTGGCAAGGAAGATTTTCTTGGGGCCTCAGTCATTTAGAAAGAAAAAGCTATTGTATCTCATCAGAATATGGAAGAGCTGTAATGCTGGTCACAGGGCTTGGATGGCCAGAGTTCTGTCTTTATAGGTCCAGTCACACGCAAGATGATACAGAGATGGGGCAGGCAAAAGGCCCTGTCCTGTGAGCAGGTGCCTCCTGATCTGCCAGTTTTGACAAGTTCTCACTTCTGCTGGCCTGGCCAGGGCTTACACCAGGACTTTTGAGTAGATGCCCTCATCCATAGCTGCTCATTTTTATTTTGTTCCCAAGCTACTCATTTTTATTTTGACTGAACATGAACAAATTGACCTCAGGTTCCCCTCTGCTTCAGAAACACCAAATTAGGACTTATAGAAGGATGGAACAGGCATTCTCAAATTGTCCTTGGTAAAGGACCCAATTTTTTGTTTTACTGCTATCCAATCCTTTGTATATGTGTTCCTGTTGCCCATGACAAGTGTGCACTTCACGCTGTATACTACGCCCCATACAAGCCTGATCACCCAAACTGACGACCCCATTCAGCAGACTAAGTCCACTGATCATGTGCTTCAATACACAACAATGTTAAAATGCTAAAGAGTTCCTAAACACTGAGTTCTAACTCATGGTGTTGCACAGATCAGTCCAAGTCTTCAAACCACGTTTGTGTAGCATAGCCTACCCACCCTTCAGGGTCTCCGTAGCACCATCAGCCCAGTGGATAGACTTCTAAGAGTTGTCTCCTGTTGGAGAACTTTAGCTTTCTGCTTGAAAATAGCTATTACAAAGCTTCAGTTTAAGTTATGTATGAAATATTTATTTTTTCAAAATTTGAAGGTGATCCCCTTCCAAAATTCTGTTAGAAAATGTGCAGTTTTTTTTTTTTTGATAGTTCCATGAAATAAATTCATATAGAATATGTAATAACAGGGACATTTTCCCATGTTTCTGGGACCTCCTGATGGTTATAATATGGGAGCTTCAGAAAGACAGTTCCATAGTAAATGAAGTTGAGATGAGAGTATGAGAAATGTCAAAAGGCTTAGAGAACTGGGCATGTGAAGTGGGTCTCACATAACACTGGAGAGCCACCAGAAATTGTGTTCCTTGGGGACCTGAGGAATTTTATTTTTTAAAGATTTATTTATTCATACAGAACTGGGGTACAGGCCAGAGATGCGGAGGGTGAGAGGATTCCCCAGAGACAGAGCGGAAAGCAGAACAGGCAGATCAATGAAGTACATAGCTGAGGGGAGCAGCGGGCGGGCCAAGAGAGGTCTGCCACCCCATGTGGTCACTTACGGGGCAGGCTGGAATCGAACTCATGCTGAAGTGGCTTTAGCGTCTCAGTGCTGTGCTTTAACTCACTGCGCCACCAGGGAGGGCTGGAATTTTTTTTTTTTAATAGAGGAATGGCACTAGTGAAAGGGTCACCAGCATCTTTGAGATGAGAAGTGGTTCTTGTAGGTGGAGGCTGATGGAAGGCAGCTGTTGTCTAGAGCTGGTTTCCCTGGTAGCAGAGGTGACAGGTTCCGAGCATAGCAGAGGGCAAGTGGCAATGCATACGTCTCAGAATCAAAATGGGTGACTTTCCACAAGGGCATCACCCGAGTCAAAATGGAGATGGCTAATGGAACATGGATGGTCTTAGGGACTAAATATGGACATCAATGATGGTACTACTTTATATAGAATTAAGTGAGACCAAGAAGGCTAAGGTCAGTAACTTCAATGAAAAGTTGCCCAGTTTCTAAGCCTGGGACAGTTATCAGACACTGTCAATAAGCAGAGCGAGTCTGTTAACCACATACTATGGAAAGCAAAACCCATTGAGGTTAACAACATTTCTATGGCAATACTCCCTAAACCATGCCTAGATTCAATGAAATCCCTGTCAGAATCCCAGCTCAATTGTGAAATTGGCAGACTAATTCTAAATTTCACTGAAACCACAATAGACTCAGAAAACCTTGTAAAAGAAGACTCAAGAAGGAGGATTTATACTTCCTGATTTCAAAACAGTACAAAACAAGAGAAATCAAAAACTGTATGGGCCATCAATAGAAACTAATGGAGTAGATTTAATAGTAGAAATAGACTCACATTAAGGACTTACTACTTTTTGATAAGAGGTTCCAAGACCATCCAATAGGGGGAAGGAAAGTCTTTTCAACAAATGGTGCGGAGAGAACTTGATAGCCACGTGCAGAAAATGATTTCAGTCTTTATCTCACTACATGTGAAATCAACATAGGTCAAAGACCTAAAATAGTAATTAAAATTATTAAACGGGTAAAACTTTCATATCTTAGAATTTGGCTAGAGATTCTTAGATATGACACCCAAAACATGAGAAACAGAAGGAAAACAAACTGGACCTCATCAAAAGTCAAATGTTTTTGCTTCAAAGGATTCTATTAAAAAATGCAGAGTGGGAGAAAATATTTGTAAATCATAACATCTTGAGAACATGTACTCTTATAACTCAGTGATAAAAAGACAATTCAGTTTAAAACGGAGCAAAGAATCTACAATACTTCTCCAAAGAGCACATTAAGCTGTGTAAATATATGCTTGAAAAGTCGCTTGGCGAAGTCATTAGGAGTGCGCAAATCAAAACCACAGTGAGATTTCATGTCAGATTTAATGTCTAGCATCAAAAAGGTCAATTGGTAAGGGCAGGGAGAAAAATGGAAACTCTGGGCACTGCTGGTGTGACTGTAAAATGGCACAACTGCCATTTTAACAAGCCAATCTGGCTTGTTACTCAGATGATTAAACAGTTTATCATATAATCCAGCAATTCCACTTAGACATGTGTAAGTGAAATGAAACATGTCTACACAGAAACATAGATGAATGTTTATAACATTATAATAACCGACCCAAAAGTACACCAACATGAATGAACAATGGAACATTTGACTATAAAAGAAATGAAGAATTGATCCATGACACAACTTGGATGAACCCTGAAAACATGCTAAGTGCATGTTCCTTCCTAAGAAAGTGCAGAAGAGGGACATCTATATAGTCAAAGTAGGTAGATAGTTTCTTAGAACCAGAAGGCACAGAAAGGTTACAGCTAAAGAGCAGTTTCTTTTGAGGTGACTAACAGTTGAAAATTGTAGTGTTGCTTGCACATATCTGTGAATACACTAAAAGTCATGTACCTTAAATGGGTGAATTCTATGGTACCTAAATCACATCTCAATAAAGCTATTTTTTATCAAGTGCTGTGGTTATTGGGTAAATCTTGAAGAAGCCTGGGTTGGAAATATAGAGAGTTGGAAGCCATTATGTGGATGGTGGTTTAAAATGTGGTGACCTAGTGGCCTGAGTTAGCTGCCTGGCCAGGAAGCTGACCCACATATGGCACAGCAGCTATATGTCTCACCCGCTGCTCAGCTTCCCTCAGCAGTGTATTTCAGTAATTTGCCTACTTGCTCCCCTTTCTGTCTCTGATGATTCTTTTACCCCCTTGCACACATTTGGCCTACACCCCAGTTCTTCTCACATACACAAAAGAGAAAAAATACAGAGCTCTTGGTAATGGAAATGTCCACAAAGCAATGAACACCAAAACCATAGCTCCACTAAAATCACTTGTGTCAAGGCCATAAATAACTCCCATGTTTCAAATCCACTGGTCAGTTTTCACTCATTTTTTTTAAAGACTGATTTTTTTATACATACAGAACTGGGGTACAGATCAGAGATGAGGAGGATGACAGGATTCACCAAAGACAGAGTGGGGGGCAAAACAGGCAAAGATGTACTGAAATATACTGCTGAGGGGAGCAGCAGGTGGGTCCGGAGAGGTCTGCCACATCGTGTGGGTCAGCTCCCTGGCCTGGGATCGAACTGGTGATGCAGTACAGGGCTGCAGCAGCTTCATAGTGCTGTGCTTTAACCCACTGTGCCACCAGGGAGGGCCCCAATTTTCACTCATCTTCAAATAGGAATGACAATTTTATAATACACTACTTGAAACATCTTAAAGTTTTATCTTTAGTTCTTTTTGGTTGCTCCTTTTAAATAAAATTTTAATAATAGTTTTTACATTTACCAATATTAAGTATATTACAACTAGAATGAATTTAATGGTTCTCAGAATTGGCCATTTAACTCCATTTAAGGAGGGTTTTTTAAACTAAAAAGTGCATTATAGGTCCCCTTGGTGGCACAATGTGTTAAAGGACGGCACTGAAGGCCATTTGGTTGTGAATTTGGTCCCTGCCCTGGAGGTGACCCACATGGTGCAGCAGACCTCTCCTGTCCTGCCCATTGCTCTCCTCAGCAGTGTATTTCAGTAGATCTGCCTGTTCTGTTCCCCACTCTGACTCTGGTGAATCCTCTCACTGCCTCTGCACCTCTGGCCTGTACCTTGGTTCTGTATGCATAAATAAATAAATCTTTTTTAAAAAACAGAGAAAGAAAGAAAAATGCATTATAACTTGGCCAAATTACACATACACAAGATGCTTAAAAATGAAAACAAAAAAAGGTTGGTACTTTTAAATCAATACCTTTATTTTTTCTTAAGATTTATTTATTTTGTGCATACAGAACTGGGGTACAGGCCAGAGGCTCAGGGGCAGTGAGAAGCTTCACCAGAGACAGAGTGGGGGAACAGAACAGGCAGATCAACGAAGTACACTACTGAGGGGAGCAGCAGGGGAGGGGGCGGTGTCAGGAGAGGTCTGCCACACCACGTGGTCACCTCCGGGACAGGCGGGGATGGAACTCATGCTGAAGTGGCTTTAGATTCTCAGTGCTGTGCTTTAACCCGCTGCGCCACAAGGAGGGCCTTAAATCAATACCTTTTGAATACATGTTGCTGTATTTTCTTTCTGATCTTTGCTAATTGAATCACAGGGCCTTAATCTAGAAACTGATGCTCTTTAACAGTGCTCTCCACTTGGTAACAATAACTTCTATCTAATGATTTCTCTACTAACAATTGCTCCTTCTAGTAAGCTGCAGATATGTAGTATTTCAGTTGTTTACACAGTAGCTGCATTTAGTAAATCAGGTATCTCCAGTTGAACTGGTCTAAAACAGATCTGGATGCTGCCTGCAAAAAAAAACCTCCTGCCTCCTCTAACACTCCCCTTCTCAGTAAAGCCAATTACAAATTAAAAAACAAAACATAGATTAAGATATGGAAACAAACCAAACGCCTCAAAACAGATGACTGGTCAAGAAAATGTGGTATATATACACAATGGAATACTTATTCAGCAATCAAAAAGATAGTCATGCCATATGTAGCAACATGGCCAGAGCTAGAAGTCAAGAAAAAAAAATGAAGTAAGTCAGAAGGAAAAAAAAATCGTGATTTCATTTATAGGAGGAATATAGGGAAAGTGGAAAAGGGTTAAAAAAAAAAAAGAGAGAGACAAAGCTTGTAGGCAAATAGGCAAACTATAGATCTGAGGCATATATCAGGGGAGGAGGGAGATGGACCAAAACAGAGAAGGATTATGGTGATGGTTCAGGTTTATGGGTGATTTGTTGGGAGATGTCGTTGCAATGGCCAAGAGCTGCCTTTCTGAGGCAGTAATATTTTAAGAGATCTGATTGCGTGGAGAGCGGTCTGGTAAACAGGTCGAGAGCCCAGCTGCTAGAACCCACCGCTGCAGTGTCAGGCAGGTCACCGCTGCAGTGTCAGGCAGGTCAATAGGCTAGAGCAGAACCAGGCAGAGGGGGAGATGAAAACAGTGACACTGTGATCAGCTAGTTCTTCTTACTATGGGATGGGAAGTTTTGCGTGAGGAAATGCTAAGACTTGATTTACATACTAAAAGGTAACTCTCCCCAGGAAATTCATGCCTACACATAGCCTAGGGATGTAGAGGGAGAAAGTAGTCCAAAGGCGGCAATTAACTGTTACAACTTTTCCGTCTAAACATCACTCTGCAAGTTTATCCGCAGGACATCAACAGGCAGAAAGCCAGCTGTGGGGCTGTGCTCACCCCGGGTGGGCATCAGAATTGTGGAAGCTTCCAGGCTTCAGGGCCCTCGCTCGGTGGTGTGGATGCCTTCAGGGCGTCCCTTCGGGGAAACTGCACCCCTACCTTCTCTGGTTTTAACACTCGGGGAGGGGGTCTTGGAGAGCGGGTCTAGAGGCCACAGATACATGTCAGAAAACGGGGTCCTCAAAAGAAGAGCGTGAGGAACGCA